GTTGTTGTTGTTGCTGGCATCAAGTATTGAACAAAATAGTACAGCACTTTTGATAAATGGACTACGTTTATTTGCTTGATTGCTTGATTGCTTAAAATCATATTGGGAATACTACTGAGAGGGGTTCAGATATGGCACAGCCCCAAGAAGAAATATTTTTTTTACCAGCCACCACTGATCACATTTTTTCCTGCCATTCCAACATTCAAATCTTAAAGAATTTGAGCCTTCTCTCTTTGTAAGAGACAATCAGGAGTCTGCAATAGTGTTTCAATTTAAAACGTAAGATAGCACACAAGATACAAATTCAATATTCCTCTTTTTAATGTTTTTTTTCTTAGTGCTGTCTGATGTGAGTATTAAAATGAGGTCAGCCAGGCCTGACGAAGAAATTACATGATTTAATGGCACCCCAGGGGGAGTTTAAATATAGCTCTGCATTACAACTGGCCTCCAACAGCACAGCATGACATGAGTTCATCCATAAACAACCATCCAAATCCTAGATGGGCCCCGCTTAAGTATTACTGTAAGCAAATACTACATGTCACTGAAGACCTGTCCATCTGCTGACGCAAACACATTTTCTCATTCTGTTATATTATAGGGAAAACATGGGTTGGGTTAGGGGGGGAAGAGGGGATGGGGCTATTTGTGCATTTGTGATTGTAGGTTGAGGTGCTGTCCCCTGTACGTCCACAAGGTGGCAGAACAACCCACACCTGATGTGGGCTACTCATCAAAATCTTTTTTTGGTGTAAGCATTGTGGACTCTGCTCAGTGTTTTATGAGCACACATCAGTCTGTTCTTCTTTAACAAACAGCCAAACACAGAAATAAACTCATGAGACACATGAATGCATAAAAAATTAAAATGAAGCTAACATTGTCAAACTAGGTCTATTAAAAACAGTCAAGCAGATCACATATGGATTAGTATTCTTTGTGTATTTAAGGAAAGCCCATTTTACATGACATTCACATGAAAGCAGCTTAGATAGAGACGTCCCACTGGGCACTGTGGGTAGCTTACTCTCAATATACACCGCCTCACCATTCATCTGTATTCATGACAGGAAAATCTCCTTCATTGAGGCTTCAAAATATTTTTTTTCCATCGCACCTTAAATGGGAAAAATGGCACTGAATAATCTTAAACGCAGAGAAGAGAAGCCGGGGTGAGGAACGTATGGATCAATCTTGTCAGGAAATCAAAACATCAATCGATATTACACAGGATACGTAAAGAAATGAAGTCCAGCCTTCAGTTAAACTGCAAAACATGAAAGATGCTTGCTGGAGTGTAAAATGGAGAATTTCCCTACCCTGTGGAAATTAGCTTAATTTTCTGGTCCTCCTTGCAGACAGATCAACTTTAGATAAACTCAGAATGACAGTATATCGACTGCAAGATGAAATTCAACTAAACATTCGATGTTGGAATCTTTGAATTCCAAATCCTAATTGCATAAATGTGTAAACTGAATTGAAGAATTAATAATAAAAAAACAACATTTGCAAACCCAAAATGAACAGTGCTGTCCAGATCGACGTAGCTAATGAAGCCTGACAGATGTAGGCTACATCTGGTCCCGCTGGTATAAAGCAGCCCTGTAGTGAGGACAAGGAGGCACCAGCCGCTGTGACGGCTTCATTCAAGACTCTAAGCTAAGCTAAGAGGAGGTGAGAGCTGCGGATACCTTTAATTTACAAAGACTGCTGCATGCTACCCTCCATTCAATCATTCTCTCTGTAACAGTCAGATGCAGGCCGACTAATCCGGATTCATCACATGTCCTTTTCTCTCGGCTTCACTCAAACTGCAATCCTCACAATCTCCCAGCGCTCTTCTGACAGCTTTCCTACTTTACCCTCATGCAAGTGTCAGCCTGCGTTCTCCCCCCCTCCCCCCCTGACAACAGTCTTCAGTTATTAGACAACACCAAGCCTCATCAGCTAATGTCAAGAAAAGGAAGTTCTGAAATGATGGTGGCTGACAAGTGTCATCCCACGGGGCCTTTGTGTTTTCAGCCAAAACATCACACGGAGCATTCAAAGAGGATCTGATTCTACCAGCTCTGCAATTTAAATGAAGATTTAAGAACTCCAGACACACGTCAAAGAGCCAAGACAATTTCCGATTGTGGTGGGTTGGGAAAGGCAGAAATGATGTCTGTCAAATGGTGAATGGTTGTGTGGGATAGTCTCACCCCTATAGTGATAAATGATTTGTGGTAAAATAAAGACTATGGAGATCGATGCAGATAGGGTGTGAAATGTTGCATAGTGCAGATTGTAGAGCTGATACTGTCATCCAAAACATGTCCTAATCTCACAGCATAATGTTCAGACATGCGCTTGGATTCCAAACTGCGTTTCCCTCAACACTATCACTTTGACATGTCTCATATTCTGCTTGCATCGAGATGAGCTCTCCAAAAGTAACACATCAATATCAAGAAAAAACCCTTATTACACTTCTCATTACACTAACTGTCCCAGCACCGTGCATATTCCAATTTACTATACACCCACAAACTAAATGTACCACAAGACCACTGAGTGGGCGTTGACCTTTTACTAACAAACAATCTCTTTGTGTGTGCCTAAGAGGGAAAACCTCAAAATGCAGGCGAACACCCAACTGTCAACAGCCTGCATACCGAAATGAGTTTACAAGGCTAGTTTGATTTGACCTATGCCAACAACATTGTGCCTGATTTATGACACTTCCGTAAATCATCGACTAGAGAGACTAACTGCAGTGGCTACAAATTGTACCACACTTTCCTGCACTAAAACTGGAACATCCCTGAGCCCTGCAAAAACAATACCAGGGTAGCTGCAGGGGGTATAATGCGTATTATTTGGCTGAGCTGGACTGTTGGACACCGCTGCTTAAACCTGTGACCTGAAACACGATCTATTTGACTGCATGTCGACAATAACATTTCCTTGTTACTTACTGTACATTCAGTGCAGCACAGTCGTCCAACAAAGCAAGGAGGAGTTCAAGACCCGGTGTTAGTAAGCATCTGCCTTCATGACGAGGCCTTGAGTCAGACTGAGACACCCTTTCAACTCTGGATGTAGCCGGACCTGCTGTCTGACCTGTGAATGCATCAAGAGAAAATTCAGCCTGTTACTGTACCTAATTATATCCTGTGATGTAAATTGCATTGAATTAACTTTGGTCTAAATTGTGTAATCTCAACGTCGGTGCATATGCTTAAGCAACCTATAAGGTGTGTAATGTGACTGTGTTGAGACCTTGTCATCAGGCTACTTTAAGTACAAAATCAGGTTATCTGCTAATGATCCATTTTGTTTGTGTTGGGCTGCACCTCCACTGGCCTGACCACACCTGATAAGATAAAAGTTACAGCTCTTTTACACTCTCCTAACACATGTTGTTTAATTGCCTAGCCCAACTATGTAAACAAATGAGAATACAAGCTCTTATTTAAGTAGGATCATCCTATGTTTTGTGTGTAAACCTTCAGTCTGCAATGTAACAGGTGGTATTAAATGGGAATACTTAAACTGGACCATTAAGCTGAATGCAACTGTTGTAAAAATGTAACCTGAGTGCTACATCTTTATGTCTTATGAATTGTTGATAGTGATGCATTCACTTGTAAATAGATGGAGCTACAATTTGAACTACGTTATATTGTTCTGCAGCTGTACAAGGATGCATCACAACACATAAAGTTACATACTGTACGTTTTGTGTATAAACTCTTCTTTTTTCACAACAGCATCCACACAAACATCATACTCACAATACATGGTGAAAATACATTTAGAAGGTAAGAAATCAACATATCAGCAGAGATCAGACATGTAACTAGCAAAAAATAATCATCTGCCAAAATGTTTCTGCCTCCAAGTCATTTAAGGACACTTTAAAACTGTTTAAAGAGACCAGCTCTGGAAGTTTCAGGTCTTTTTTGCAAAGCGTTCCAGGTAGAGGGAGCAATTTAAAAGCTCTTTCCCCGTTCTGTTCTAACCTTGGGAACAGACTGTAACAATACAGTTGTCTTTTTAATTTATTCAGACCCTTCCATTAAAAAAAAAAGGGCAAAATTCACAATAGTCACTCAAATAACTAGAAACTGAAAAAAGTAATAATAATTTCAAAAAAATGCTAAATTCTAATTTAGTGGAATAAGACATTGCTTTTGAATTGTGGTTGAAAAGAATGATTAAAAAAAAAAACTGTCCCGGACAAGTTAGAGCACTTTGCTGATGAGCAGTGGGCCAAAATCAAAATACCTGTCAACAGGTGCAGAAGTCTGACTGAGAGTTACAGAAAACACTTGATGGCAGTGATTGGCTCAAAGAGTTGTTCAACAAAACATTAGTTTACAGGTCCCATCATGCTTGTTTGCTTTTTTTGTGCGTTTGTTTTAATATTTCTGTTAACCACAATTCAAAAGCAATGTCATGACTTTCATTATTATTTTTGATTTATTATTACTTTTGTCAATTTCAACTTATTTCAGCTGTTTTTTTTCCTTCTTTAATGGGAGGATATGAATACATTTGAGGACCACTATAGATCTTGGGCCACAGACTGTAACTACTTGCAGCTTTTGGACAAATAAAAACGTGTAAATAACAAGGAAGCAAGCCTAAAATACATTTAGAAATGAAAACATTTCCTTCGTGTGGTCAAATCTGACCATCCAACACCAGAGTACAGCAAACAATGACGAGTAAACGACTTTAAATCTGCAAAATAGCATTACATGGGAAAAAAAATCAAAGTATTTGAGCAAATGGACTTCCATTGCTAGAAATTCCTTAAGCATTACTTTCAAAGAAAAATCAAATAACTCAAACTAAGTGCAACTAGAGGCACACTGTGAAATGTGAAGTGCTTCGAAAGTGTTATTTTGAAATAAAGGAGAAGCTGCCACATTTACACGATATCGAAACAGTGGGCTGACTGAAGCGCAACTTCTCGTTTTGTTGGAGAGGCTTTGAACACAAGCGCAGTTCAAATCACGTTTCAAAGGAGGCTGAACCGAAACAGCAGAAGGAGGAAGTCACCTTTGGAAGTCGAGTGAAGCACACCGGTTCAACCTGTCAGGCAGACAAGAGGCAGAGGCAGCCGCCGCGGCGCTGGAAGGGAATATGGCAAGAAGTGCTGCTGAAGGCAACCTAAAGCCGCAGCTCACCCACAATGGACTGAAACGCGAAGATACCGACAGAAATGGATATCACAACAAGAGAGAGGTATGCCCGTCAGCGGCTGCTAGCTTACGATTTGTATACAAAAACAACAAAAAAAGAGTACTCCAAACTGTTTCGTGTACCATATTTAAGGTGCGGCCAGGTACTTTATGATCATGTTGTTTTCATTGGCGCCCTTTACCTGAAACGGCCCGGATTTAACTGCTGCAGGTACACTGCAAAACATAAATTAATTAATCAAAATAACACCCAGAAAGCCAACGTACCCGCTGTGTTTTTAATCTCTAATAGCCCTTGTGAAATATATGATTTGGTTTGTGATAAGGCAACCCTCAACACAACTTTGTTATCAGTAGCAAACAATATGATGCAGCTTTTTTTAAAAAAAAAAAACAAGGGACAGCAATCCAACAGCAATACTCACCCCGCCCTGAAATGCTTTTCTTCCGCCAAAGCAGGTTTTTCTTTGCCTTCAGGCTAAATACTACAGTTCAGAAGGTGCACTTTTGCTTTGACGTTCAAGCTTTAACAACATAGTGCAATTTCCAGATTGCTAACTAGCTGCTATAAAAAAAAAATAGCTAACGCAACCTGCTTCACTTCAACATTTTTAAAAGTTTTTTCTGATAACAGAAAACGCTTTTACATTGCGATTCTGCACGGTAGTTTGAATGCCAGTCATAACATACTCGCAACTCATTTAAAATGGATGATAATACTTTTGTTTTTATATTAGACTGTTTACTGTGTCCAGGGCTCACGGTCAGCGTTAGCATCTGTTTTTAGCTAGCATCAACTAGTGACTTTTCAAGACCGTTGTAGCTCCTCTCAAAACCACTTACCTCTGCTTGAACTTTTAAAAAAAAATCATTTTACAGTCCTCAAACACTTTACTCAAGAAATATTTGACAACATTTATCATCACACTCTTTAAGAATCCTGTTTTTTTTTGGCATGCAGGGTCTTCAAGGTGCAACGGCTAAAGCTAACAACATGGCGACCGTAAGTGACATCTTCTTAGCATTATCACATTGGGTGCCAAAATGTGTCTTTTTATCAGGGTAAAACAAGATATGGTTCGTAGCTTTTGCCCCGCCATAATGTCGATGGCACACATGGTCACAGAACTAATAGTTTGTCCAAAAGAGCTAAGAGTACTTCTAAGGCACACTGATGATCAAATCCAATTAGGGACTGTTTGCTTTAAAAGTGATGCTTCTGTTTGCTGTTGTTCCTGACTGCTCTTCTTCACAAGAATGTGACAGACAGCAGCAAAGCAAACAAAACAAACTGTGGCTGGTGCTCAGATCATTAGGATGACAGCAATCAGCATGGTTAAACAGTACAGGGATTTTTTTTTTGTAATTTCTTGTGCAATTTTAATCCTTTCAGCAGCTGTCTCAAATCAATGGCAGTCAGGAGTGTTACATGTTTATAATTTGTCCTTTTAAAAATATCTTTAGGCCTTGGAGGGCTAACTAGTTACCACCCCAAACTGCCTCTTTATCAAGAAGAGAAGTATAAGTTCTGCTGGTTTGTACTTACAAGAAAATTAGCCTGTATGTAGTGTAGCATTGCTATGAATAGTCTTCCTCTGGCTTCAGTGTTAAACAATATGTGTTTGTGATTAGTAGGACACGGTCTGCTTCCTTTTTGAGTGTTAACTACAAACCCTCATTTGAAACCGAGCCACTTTTATTCAAACAGTATTGTGTTGTGTTGTGCAATAAAGACAGCTCATGTGTGTCTCCTGTTGTACAGAAAAATGGCCCAGGGACCAGCGTCCCCTCCAGGCAGCACATACCGGAGTCCTTTGAGCAGGCGCCTATGTATGTGGCTGTTATGACATACCTGGGCTTTGGCATTGTCACCCTGTTTGGCTACTTCAGAGACTTCCTCAGAGCTGTGGGCTTAGAGAAGTGCCATCTTGCCCAGGAAAGAGAAGAACAGAAGGTACGTAACACATGCAAACATGGGCAAATAGAAGGCTTATACACATCCTGTAGACGTACACGAGCACCCAGACATGCACTCAATGTCAGTGCAATTTGTTTTCCTCTAATTATTTCAATTTTTTCCTTAAGCTCTCCCTCTGCTTTCTTCCCTCGTGTTCCCCTACACTAAAACGTTGCTATGGGTGAACCACGACGCCACGGAGAATATCTGTTCAAGATCTAATTAAATCTCAGAGGATGCAAGCTCTTTCTTTGTACTGTGCTTCAGATTTTTGATAGGGCCTGAGCACTGCCACATTAGAGCCTTTGTGTTACCACGGATTTGATATAATAAGTCCAAAAATTGCACGTGTTTTGTAGCTGTCAGGTTTGTTTTTGTCCCATTGAAAAAGCTATAGCTTTAAAAAAAAAAAAAAAAAACTGATGCTGTGACCATGTTTTGTTGTTATTTTTGTAAGGCAGTATGTCTGTGGACAGAGCGAATGAAGCGGTCTCTAGAGGGAATAACTTGGCAGTTTGCTTCTGTGTGTGACAATGGTCATTTACAGTATGAAGCTAAACATGTAATAAATGAGACAATGAATGTAGCAGGTTGTAATTAGTGTGGCATTAAGAAAATATAGGCAAATGAACACAATTAGTTTGTGTTTTGAATGATTCCATTTACTTACTTGTAAATGGAGCAGCATCCAAAACATCCATACTGGGGAAAAGTTGCGGTGCAGGCATAGGTCAAGCTCATCTTACAGGCAATATATAAATATGTATTTAAAAAAAAAAAAAAAAACAGAGCGAAGCAAGCTTTTATTTCCTACAGGCATTGTGACTGCAGCACAAGCTGTTCAAACTCAACAGGCTGGTTTTGTAGTGTTCGTTTTCAAATGCGTAACACATGCAGATATTGTTAGAAGAGCAAATAAAGAATGAAAGGATGTTGTGCTGCCTTTTTATATTTATTAGTTAACATCAGTTAGTTAGAAAAAAAAGATTTAATTATCTGTGTCAAAGGCTAGCAGCAGCCACCAGCAACTTTTAAAGTGGAATGTTTTCTTGCGTGCTACTCAGTGCATGAGTTGAGAATGAAGCAATCGGTACACTCTGAATGCCAATACACCTTTAGACAAATGATTCTTTGTACTGGCTCTCATGCATGACATACACTTTAATGATGATTGGCTCTTCAAATGCTGAAAAAGACGTAAATGAATTTCAGTCGTATTATGAGAGCACTCCGGCAGCACCTATGTCAGTGGGTTTGTGTTAAGATTGTCTTGAAAAAGTATAAGAGCGAAATGTGGCTATATCTATTTTTGTTGTTATTGAACTCACCGAGTGAAAAAACATCTGTTACTTAAAAAAAAAAAAGTATCTCGGTACTGGCTTACTGTGACGTTAATAAAAAATGTTTCTTGTCATCCTCAGGCTTTTGTACCACTTTATCAAGATTTTGAGAACTTTTACACTCGCAACCTGTACATGAGGGTACGAGACAATTGGAACCGTCCCATATGTAGCCTGCCGGGACCCGTCTTTGACCTGATGGAGAGGGTGTCTGATGACTACAACTGGACATTCAGGTACTATAACCTAATTATCTATGTTAGACATACTATAGCGGATTACAACAATACACACTGATGAGCCAAAACATTATGACCATTCACATAAGGGAATAACACTGACGCATAGCAAAGACACTTATCAAGGTCTAGGTTATCGTAGATGGTAAGTGAACAGTGGGTTTTCATCACAGTGTTGGATGTGAGGGGAATGGAAAGGTGTGAAGATCTGAATGACTTTGACAAGGTCTACATTGTTATGGCCAGACAACTGGGTCAGAGCATCTCCACAATGAAAGGGCTTGTGGGATACCTACCGCTGGGTATTGGGGTATTTGCTGGAACAAATCTGACCCGTGGCAGCTCAAACTCACAGAAGGACTTCAAGGATGTGCTGAGTTCTGGCACCAGATACCACAGGGAACCTCCAGAGATCTTGTAGAATCCATTCCTCGGTGGGTCGGAGCTTTTTGGCAGAATGCGGCCAACAGCATGTTGGGCATAATGTTCTGGCTTGTCAGTGTATACCACTCAATTTAAGAATGTACAAATGCTTTTCCAGCTTAGAACAGGCCAGCAAGTGTTCCACAACACAATCATCTCTCTTCTGGGGCTACAAGCTAGACAACCAAGATTTATTTGGCACGCCCAAACATGGGTATTTGTCATCGGCAAAGATATGTCATTCCTGGGTTTCTGGGCTACGGTTGATATTCCTCTGTGCTGCACAACACGGCCAGGGAATATATTATAAAAAAGAGAATATGAGCAGAGCCACGGGGAAGGAATATGACATTATGAATTGGTAAAGAGGTAAGTGTGGATTACGTGTTTCAAGAGAGTTATTGTGGCTGGAAAAAGTACAAATGAGGCAGTCAGCTTGTCTTCTGTGGCCAAGTGTGATGAGTGGGTAAGATATACGTAGACGGGGTTTCTAGTAGTTTGCTGGTTTGTGTGATTTGAGAGAAGAAGTAGGCCAGTTGATGAAATGGTGAAGTTCTTCTCAAATACTTTTCTTTTAAACTCTGATGATGTGCAGTGGGGATGTACCACACTCGACTGACCATGTGCAGTTGTGTGAAGTTAACTTGAACTTGCTTTATTGCAAGAAATTATTGGATATTGACTTTCCGTGTTTCCCCTGTAACGCCCAGCCGAGGGGTTACTTTACCGCAACATGAATTGCCGTCCTTCACAGGTCTCAAGCAGCCACACAAAACGTTTTCTCAGAGAAGTTAATAATTTATTGACAGTAAATTTGATTTGGTGACAAAGGTTGTGGTTAACCAAAACAAAACAGAGGTAATGTGTAAATTAAATTAAGAGTGAGCTCTACGCCAAAATAACAAACAAAAACACACTATACTTTTGGGAGTCCAACTTACCTAACCAAATAAAAGGAGCAAAATTAAACACAAAGTCTAACCTCCCTCTCTAACTTAACCAGGAGAAAAAGGATTAAACAAAAAGTAGCAGCTCACTCCATACATTTAACACACTATTTGTTTTAACTTATCAAAGAACGCTGTGCTTGAGCTGTGTATTCTGGTTTGGACGCAGTGAAGGGTGGCCCGCCCATCTGACCATCTCCGCATGTCCAGCGACATCATCCTTCCGCCTTAAGTACCGCGTTCTTTGGTCGTTCAGCCAATCCAGTCTTTGGTACGGCGCAGCCTTGTTTGCACACTAAATAGGCACACAGCGGGGAAGCACACAGAGCACAGGAAAAACTAAACACAGATACGACCACAGACGTAACACCACAGCTTGCTGACTGTTACATGTGTACTTCATTTCTTACAATGGAGCATAATCTCTTGATTCTGGCTAAAAGTGACATGTAAATATTTGATGATGTACTTAAAAAATGAAATAGACATAACACAAACTGCTTCTGCATACCGTCACAGCTGTTTACCCTAAATACACGTTGTTATAATTGCACTTCTCACGAACAGAACTGTACAGATAAAATAGCAGGTTTTTGATGAGCAAATAGCACATTTATTCAAATGTTCATTACTTTGTGTTTGTGTTTGTGTGTGTGCATGTGTGTATGTGTGTGTGTGTGTGAAGATTTGTGTGTATGTGCAGAAAAAAAACTGATTTCTAACGGATATATGCTTACAGGTTTACTGGGAGGACATTACACAACGTCATCAACATGGGCTCTTACAACTACCTCGGCTTTGCTGAAAACAACGCTGACTTCCTGAAAACTGTTGCAGATAAAGTGCATCAGTATGGGGCTGGAGTTTGCAGCACAAGACAGGAAATAGGTGAGTTTGTGGTCAATGTTCACTTTTACAGATAAAGGAAGCCATGTGCCACTTGCCATTTTGAGCCAGTTTCAACAAAGGCATTTATTTTCTCTTTTGCAAAAAATGTCAACTTTCTAAGTCAAGTTATCAACTGTTTGTAGTGTACAGTGCTTAAAATGTCTCCTATGTGCCTGTCTCTGTCAGACTCTGATAACATTGAACGGGCTGAGTACTAAATTGAAAATAAAATCCTATCTCCTTCATCACATATGCCATGATTTAATATATTTCTTTTGATTATACCTAATCATTTATTATATTTCTTGCAAATTATCCTCCCTGCATGTTTAATTATCTGTCAGTAGCTGCAATTTTCCATGAATTATTCAAGTTTTGTTAAATTATGTACCATTTGGGCATAAGTTGGGATCACAACATATTGGTTCACACTAAGGAGCACGGGAAGCTATATAATAAAGTAATGAAAAAAAAAACACTCTGGGCATTAAACATGTGTAACAATCTTAAAATAAGAAATCGGCTCACTCAGGAAAACTGATTACAGTTCCAAATCAAAGTCTTTATAGAGACATTCAAAAGTCATGCACAGGTGAGCAGTCAGCCTGGCGAAGTCTAAAACGCCTAAAAGACGGATAAAAATCTTGAAAGGGGATAGGCAAAACTCCAAAAACAAGCTGAAGCCATACACAAGGCATCCGAGCAGGATTGTACAGCAGGATGCAAAAGGAATGTACATGTATGTGATGGAATTGTTAGAACAGAAAGGATCTCAAAGTGAAATCTGTGGCTTCTGATGAATTTTGAATGGTATTTTATCCTTTGAACTTCCGTTCCGCTTCTGATGGTGTTTAAGTGACTATGTGGGTCGGGATCTTGTGTTCTGGCGTAGCAGCACTGCAGTAGGGGGAATTTAATGATTACTCGTCAAAACCTGTCGACGTGTAAACATTATGGAGCTTGTTGAACAGGCCACACTTAGTTAAGTTTACCCGAGAAAAGCAGTTTTCTGCGCGTCTGTGATGTTCAGTTTATGACACTGCTGACTCCAGTTTACTGCGTATCTTCTGAGAGCAGGCTAGCAGAAGGTGAGCTGACATACGAGCTCAGAGCAAGTTGAGTCACTGTGTAGTGTCCCGTGATATCAGCAGTCGGACTAGAACAGAGAAAACCACAGGAATTAAAGGGCATGTGACTGCTAGTTATTGGTATTTTTGTCAGAGTGCAAGTATGACTCCCGCACCATACCCCACCCACCCACACACACACACACCCACACACACACACACACACACACACACACACACACAAACCTGCACGCCATCCATTATTCATTTATTTTATTTATTTATATGTTTATTTCTCTTTCGAAATGGGACTGTTTTAGCCTGGGTTTCTGATGTGTGTTTCAGCTGGCTCACCAAACGGGTTACTGAATAACAAGCATTTCTCCCTGGAGACCTTATTAAGCATAAATTATTAAAGACCCTAGTGTCTCTGTAGTAGCAGTGATGCTATCATCACCACAGCAATTTGTATCGGCAATACACAGAACATCTTCCAAATCGAATTTTCCTGGATCTGTTTTTACCAGCATTCGATATATTTTTTTTTTTAAATCACAAAAAAACATACGGTTCGATTGAAATTAAATATTACATCGCTCCCATAACATGATCTGATATTAAATTCTTTTACAAATTGCAGTTAAACTGAATATTTGTATATTATGTCAACTTTTTTTGTGTCAAGTTGAATTCAAACGTAACTTAAATGGTATAAATACAAAAGAATTATAAATCATTTTCCCACAACTAGCATACCATATATATTGTATCTACACTAAAAGTGGAAATAATTTTTAAGTGTACAGGGAGTGCAATTTGATGTGTTTTTTTAATCAAATAGGCATGCAAAAGTAGATACAAAGTGCACTGGAAGCACACCCTTTGAATAAACAGGCATGTCAAACATTCATGGATTCGTATTAATGGATAGCTCGAGGTTCCTACTTTCCCTGCAATTATTAACATACTATAAATTAGATAATGATGTCAAGCATCCAAAAGACTGACAATTTCAAGAAGCACATTGTAGTAAAAATGTTGCTTCAGTCCTAATACACAAATACAATTGGGCTGTTTTGCATCAAACTAAGCCAAGTGCTGCACTTGCCTATTGTGACTCCAGTTGAGGTTAGTCATAGAAATGATTAACACTTCTATCCTTGATCCTTTTTCTTTCACTTGCTGTAAAGGCTTTAAAATAAAGTCTCAGTCACACGTTTCCTATAAAAGAGACAGATATAGCTTTGAGATTTCACAGTCAAGTGTTATTGTCTCCTCATAACAACACTTGGCAATAGCTATTCAACTTTCTCATCAACAGACTTTGATGACTGTGGTGGCAGCAGGGTGACCTTGGTAACTTGTAGGACAGGTGACCAAGCTTAACAAGAAGTAAGCGCTCCTGTATTTCAGTTAACACAAGTGAGCAGAGTGAGCAACGTCTGTTCACCCTCTTTTACCTGAAGTGTATCCAGACCGAAAGCTGACTTCTGAGGTTAACGATTCAATAAGAAGGCAGGTCATGCCTTTAAAGCCACAGCTAAGTAAAATGTCCAGTAAAGAGAGAAAATGCCAATGCAGTCTGATTAAAAAAAGAAGCTGCACATGCCAGCAGGGGCTGTGAGCCTGAGTGGTCGAGGAAATGTATGAATCGATTTGACTTGGCGCAGGGCCTGATGGAAAGCACCGAATGTGAATCACCATAAAGACAGAGCTGCTTCACTGCATTATAGTTTTATACCCATCACTCAATACCCATTTTCCAGTCCTTACTGAAACATATAGTCTGTTTGAACTTTTAATGCCTGCTCTCTGTGGTTACTTATGGTTTTTGATTATGACTACAGTGATTAGTATCCCATGTATTTCCTATTAATGCGTCATTTTTATTTGAGAATGCACATAAAGTTATGCTGTGTGATTAAAACACACAATGAAATTATTTAAAGAGTAACTAGTTTAATAGCATTATAGTGTAATATAAGTGTTAAGAGTGGTCATATTTGTTAAAGGGTATGGTATATTTCTACAATACATACAGCATATAGCTTTGCTCAGAGCCTGCAGAAATAAAATACAGTGTGTATAAACCTTTTACTGCCTACCTCTCTCCCTGTAGCTCCCAATTACAACTGTAATTGTTCTATTTATCAGCTAACCACAAGGGCAGATACCTGAAAAGTATCCCTGAAAAGGGACTTTTATTGCACAAAACAGAAAAAAACACCATGTCAGGTGCTAGTTTACGATCTGATCAATTCTTCTAAATGAATTCTGGTTCCCAGCTGTCACATTGGGTTATAACCAACTGTTTCAGTCCCAAAATGTGCTGCAGAAACATTTTAGACTTTGCAGGACTTGCCTTGATATTACCAGGGATAAGATAGGGTAGCTGAACTAAAATACAATTTGCCACATCTTGAATCTTTATAAAGCTCCTCAAATCCCTCGAGAGCGAGAGGCACGGATGCTGATCCCAACGTTCGCCTTTGGGTCTCTTGCTTTTATCAGGAGACATTTATCTTTGTCAAAATTTGTGATTGGATGACAAAGACCAGCAAAACCTAGGGACTAAAGGACTACCAGATAAACCAACAGGTACAGTGATCTTGTCAGAGTGAGTTATCCTTTTGTTGATTTCTGTCTTGTAGGTAACCTGAGCATCCATGAGGAGCTGGAGCAACTTGTGGCCAATTTCCTTGGAGTGGAGGCCTCTATGACTTATGGTATGGGTTTTGCCACCAACTCAATGAACATTCCAGCACTTGTTGGCAAGGTATGTGATTTCACACACTAAATTCCACACAGTGTACAGGAAATCCTACTTTACATGGGTGTAATTTCACAGTGCAGCAGATATTAATCTAATTAGCCTTTCTTGCATATGGCCTAAATTAATGAATAACAGTCATCTAAACTCAGCTGCGAACAACTCCCGACCCACCCCTCTTAATTAAAATCATAATTAAACATTACAGTAGCCAGAAGGATGAGGCTTTGGGCATACATGGCTTCATTCAGACACATAGACAAGGAAGGGCAGGTTTTGTTAAGAGCACTACTCAAGGGTGTGATTACCCATACTCTGGCCCCTCGGCACACCAGCCTGGCTCATGCAGCGGGCCGTGGGTTACCAGGGGCAACACACAGCACGAATATCCGTGATTGGACTGGACAGGAGGAAGAGGAGGTTGACTGTTTAAGTGATGAGAACAGGGTCGTTTATGCAGCTCAAGAGGTGTAGCAGCCCCTTAGGCTGCAGCCCCCACAGTAACCCGGCAGAGGCTGGGGGTCAACCCTCACTGCCAGCTCTGTCCTACAGGGACAGGCTGTGCCAGGACAGGCCTTGCTGTGCAGGCACAACAACATTAGAGTGACAGCTGCTGGTAGACCAGGGACCAGGCCAGCTGGACCCCAGGCCAAACCGAGCGTATCTGTCACTGAGACGGTGTCAACATACCCAGTACAAGACTTCATTCAGACTAATGCAGTCAAATGCTTAGAGCCTCAGCGTTATATATGCTAATGTACTGGAGAGAATTTCGTGGAACGGCTGAATTAATTTGCATGCTGATTTCTATGGAAGTACTGTGTCTTCTCTTATGAAAATTGTGATATTTCTGTGGGTCAAAACTTCATCAGACATCAAAGATTTTTTTTTAATCACTAACATGTACAGAGCATATAGCTCGTCCTACAAACAGAACCTAGACATTGGTGATTGGAATTAAGGCATAGATGGGGGCAGGGCAAGTGGAGTAAGCTGGCATGTAATTAGCCAGGTGCATCCTGTTTATATACTGCACATTCTACAAGGACACTGCTACAACTAAACATATGCTGCACTACATAAAAACAAACAATTGTAGCAATGTGTAGCACACAATCCCATGATTTTTATCCATAAAATTATGATCATGTTTACTGTTAACAAGCTAATTAATTTCTTCTGTACCCAAGGGACAGTCTAATTGGCTGTCTTACTAACTATAGACAACTGAACCCAAAATGCCATTATACCCTATCTATGCAAATGTTGCCATCTTATCAGTAACAGAGCTTACTATCATGTAGTCCATGTAATGTAGTTACACAGGAAGCTAGGTGAGTTCCTAGAGATTTTTTTGATTTTACGATTGCAGCAGCCTAGCATTCAGCTATTACACTGGAACCGAAAAGCCTTTCTCATGAACTTTAAATGAAACCTTTTCTATTTGCTGATTTCCAGGGTTGTTTGATACTCAGTGATGAGCTCAATCACACATCTCTAATTTTGGGGGCCAGACTGTCAGGAGCAACCATTCGAGTTTTCAAACACAACAGTAAGTCCACCAACTTTCTCATTTGTGCGTTAGTGCTTTTGTCTCACAAAAACAAAAGTATTATTTAAAGTATCATTTCTAACCTTTTTGCATGTCTATTGTCTAAAGACGACTAAGACCAGTGACTTGTGCTTTTACATTATGTGATTTACAACAATGTTCAAATCCAGAGAAATCCGATTTGGATTTGGATTTTTTCAATGTAACGGTGCCTTTATATTTGGTCCCCTTTTAATCGTGTTGTATCATTCTGGTAAACACGGTAAACAAAAATGATAAATCAGAGAGAACGGAAGAAAAAAAATTAGGAAATCTATTATTTTAGTATGATTATTTTGACCACAGATAACAGAACTGTACCCAACTATTGTTATTATTTTCTTATTGTTTAGATTGAGAGACCCCTTGCAGGAAAAATGACATACTGTGTGTTTAAGTTATACCAGTGAGATCCATATTGTTTCAGTTTACCAGCATCGTTGGTGTTTAAGAGTCATTGTGTGTCTGCTGCACCTTCCAGAACAGCAAACATTGTGTCTTTTTTTTTTTGTTTCGTCATGAGATTGTCTGCTGATGAAGCTTCAGTTTGTTTGCATCCACCGCTGCCTACTATCTCGTTTTATTTGTCATCATGCTAAACTGTTGCTGCTGCGAGAAGCACTTTACTTTTTGTGCAGTACAGGATTTGCCTTAGGAAAGACCTACTTAACATTCTGTGTTTAGAGCAGCACATGTAAAAGCTTTAAAGAAATGGATTCAGTTTACAGTCATGACAGTGTGTTATCCATTTACAGCAGAAAAACAAAGCAGGATTATTTATATGAGAGTGCCATCTTACTTAAACTCTGTGTCCTGTATTATATTGTGAAATTGCATATTGTAAATAGATATAAGAGGAAACGATTAAGTATGGATGATACAGCATCCATTGTGCATGCATTAGAAACAGCTCTGTTCGTTCAGGAGACAGCACAAATGAGCCAGTCCTCTGGCAGCAAATGTGTCCTGACAGGTACAAGCAGAGTCAGTTATGGGTCCTCCAAGCAGATCCCAGAGGCCTGTCTAAAGGCAAAGAGCCCTCAGGCACCTGAGCTGCTGACCCCTCCCTGCCTCGAAACCTCCTGCAGCAGACACTCTTTTATTAGCAGAATATTTACTAAGAGGGTTATACCAGTCAACTGAGCCACAATAACAAATAATGGGGGAAAAAGAAAAAAAAACAACGACATTGTGATCTTTTTGTAACAGCACTTCAAGCGCTGTCTGAGATAACTTGTTTGTGGCATCTGGAATGTTTTGAGAGGTGTATCTTTAACAGAGATGGCATTTCATACCAGAGAGTAGGTGGACTGGTTTGTACAGTCTAGCATTGTCTGACTGGGATGAAATATTTCAGATAGTCAAAAAAGGATGCTTACATTCATTCTTATTCTTTCAAGTTAATACATTAATTAATTTATTTTTTAAGCCAGTAGCCATTCTGCACCCTGAGGGTCAGAGCAAAGATAAGATAGTATGGTGGCATTTTATGGATATCCACAACTGCGTGCACGTGTATCATGCAGGCACAGAGATAACCATCCTTATAAAGCAGTCATACAGCCAATATCAGGCAGGGTTTATCTTCAATCAGTGCTTAACTGTGAAATAATCTTTTCCTCATTCTTGAATATGCACGCAGCAAACCACAGTGGGTTTCTCTTCCGCTGTCTTCTGTCCTCAGTCTTCCGTAGTTGCATTAAATGTGTTCTGTTCTAGTAAGCTTCAGGAAGGGATTTTAGCAGCAAAGCATCTGCTACCTCTTAAGTAAACCTATTTTTTTGTGTTGAGGCAGTGATATCAATCATCTATGATAGATTATTAGCTCTGACAGGCTTCCTCGCTGCTCAGCAAGAAATGGCTGGATTGCAGTCATATTTCAAATAATACTTCATATTAACTATAGTTATTAAATACTGCCATCTGCTGGTGTGCTGCAGAGGATCCTTAATAATCTCACCATTGCCTCTTATAAACTCTACATGTCACTTTGAAATTATTCTGCTGACACCAAAATTTAGCCATCCAGACTTCACTGAACAGGTCTTTGGCTAAACCCATTTTTTATGTTCAATTAGTAATCCTCTGACACAGACATTGCTGTAGTAGGTGGTGGAAGGTGTTTCTGGCAAATATAGTAGTGCTTTGTGTTCTCTGTAAACTACCTTGCCCTTTGGAAATTATTACTTTGCATACTGTTGTTTGTTTGTTTGAGTTGGTGTTCCCTGCAAGCTATAATTTGATTATTGCAGCTTTCTATTGTGCAGTATTTTTATTTATTTATTTTTTTTTACAAATAAAGTGTTTTGCTCTCTTTCCCTCTCATTCTCCTTTGTGTGTGTGTTTGTGTGTCTGTTTGTGTCAGATATGCACAGTCTGGAGAAGATGCTAAAAGAGGCAGTTTGCTCAGGGCAGCCTCGGACCCACAGGCCCTGGAAGAAGATCCTTATCATGGTGGAAGGCATCTACAGGTCAGCTGTTGTTATGCAGCCCACACATTAGTGTAGTCACTCTCACAAACACACATCTTGTGTAAGTTGAGCTCTAGTGTCAATCTGTCTAAGTATGGATTTCCAGGTGGTCTTTAGCTGAATTTCGCACAACAAAACTCAGGTAGGAATCTTTATTTGTAACCTGAGGTGAGCCTGTGCTCAGCAGTGCCTGTAATGTTCTCTTTTTCAATTGCTTCCCTTTCTACCCCTGAATAATAGATTGTGTGAGTGCATGAGTGCGTGTGTGCGTGTGCATGTGTGTGTGTAGGTGTGTGTGTGTGTGTGTGTCTATGGTTGGGTACCATTTGATTACTGGAGAGAGGAGAAAGGTATTGTGTGTCTCTCCAGGCAGTGAGCTATCCCGAGTCGTAGTGACCCTCTCCATCTGCTCATTAGCTCCAAATCAAGGCCAAATGGAGCCACAGAGATTGACTTGGCTACACCCCCAGCTCCAACTGTTTATCACGGCCATTTTCTTTTCTCCCTTCTTCCCCTTTTTTGCCCGCAATTCCACTTCCATTTCAGTCTTTCTGAGCTAAAATATAATACTGTGAATTTTTGCTGAATTGTTTATTGGACTTTAATCGAAGAAGAGGAAAACCGCAAACATGTCCATCGCTTGACATTAAAATAATGATTAGTACCCCAACAGTCATGGCCCCTTTAGAGACAGCTTCATTGCAAATCATCAGAATGTCTTTACCAGGCAATAATGTCTAATGTCAACCTCAGACATGAGAGCGAAATGCCGCCTTTCAGTCAAGCACTGAAAGAACTAATGCTCCATCTATCACCTCCCGGAAACATCAAAAGACTTGGATAAAGAGTAAGCATGCTTTAGCTATATCCTGGGCCTGCCTTTGAAGTCCACATTGGTCCTGGTGAAACCCTGTCTTATGTCATTTGGGCTGCAGACATTCTCGGCCATAGTAAGTATAGCGGGTCTGGGATTGCTCCGTTCCCCTAGCCATATAATCGCTCATGCTGTCTATTTGTAACCTTAAAAGGTTTGCATCGGAGGGGAGGAAGGGATGGGAGAGAGGTGGGAGTAAAGCGAAAGAGGCCAGCAGAAAGATTCCTGGAAGACTGTAGCATGTCAAATTATGTAATATGCATTTACAGATGGAGAGATGCTCTGGAGTGGATAAAGTTAATTCAGGGTCAGATTCTTTTCCTTTTAATCACTCTGAGAGTTTGGTTTATAATTATTGAAATGTGTGTCAGTGTTGATCCTATTGTCACCGTATTCTTTGTTTGTGATTCTGTCATTAGCATGGAGGGCTCTGTGGTGCGACTCCCTGATATCATCGCTCTGAAGAAGAAGTACAAAGCATATCTGTACCTGGATGAAGCCCACAGTATCGGAGCAGTGGGATCATCAGGGAGGGGCGTGACTGAGCTGTTTAATGTGAACCCAGCTGATGTGGACGTGATGATGGGGACCTTCACAAAGAGCTTTGGGGCTGCCGGAGGCTATATCGCTGGGAAAAAGGTTCCTGTGGATCTTTGCATTTTCTGTTTTAGCTTGCTCTGCTTTTATTTTATCACTAGGAGCAATATTTATATATTTATATTAGATGTTTGTCTTTGCAAATACATCAAAATATCTGAAATTCCCTACATCCCTGTTATAAAGGTGGGCCTACGAAGAACACTTTTCCACCTTCCGTTTTGTGGTTTTGTTAGATTGTTGGCGGTATTGAGTGAATGGAGAGAGAGGAGCATGGCAACGTTTTTTTAATAGCTCTATTCAACAAGGGAATGGTAAATATAGTACATCCCAGACTTTCACCATTCGGGCAAAATAGCATCACTGCAACACAGTGGATACTAAACCTGAAGTCCACCAAAGAAAATCTCGGCTCAGGTGGTGGAGTGGTTGTCCTCTGATCATACGGTTGGCGGTTCGATCCCCTGCCCCTCCACAGTCTAAGTGTTCTTGGGCAAGACACTGAACCCGAAGTTGCTCCCAATGGCAGGCAGCGCCTTGCATGGCAGCTCTGTCGCCATTGGTGTATGAATGTGTGTGTGAATGGGTGAATGAGAAAACATTGTAAAGCGCTTTGAGTGCCGCTAAGGTAGAAAAGTGCTATATAAGTGCATCCCGTTTACCATTTACCATTTGTTCAACTGAAGTCACACCTACTCTTCTGCCAATTGATTTGTCAAAGGGGGGAAAATCTGCGCTTTATATCTAGATTTGCCTCAGTGCTTCCCTTGTTAGTCTAAATTAATTATAAAAGAAAGAAATCATGTTAACCTAGATAATAACAGTCAGAACATACTAGCATGCACCTGACCATATTTATATGATTTACAAAAATAGAGCTTGATCCACTAGTGATTAATTCTCAGTACAAGAACGATTGAAGAATATGATGCAGACAAGCTTATCCACTGTTCATAGAGGATATGTCATATAGATGTTTTTACAACCAACTTTTTGGCCATCCATTTGGACGGAATGCAGCCACACTGATGATTTCTTTGACATGGTGTCAAAGATGTGGAGCCAGTTACGAATAAACGTTCAACAAACAATAAAAAAAGGTTACACCAGGACAAGTTCAAAATTGTGAAAATGCAGGGTTGTTCACAGATAGTCTGCTCCTCCTACTGCCAGAATTCATTGATTAATCCTGAGAAATACTGATGTAGGGCCTTTCTGTTTATGAAAGCAACTCCAGCGATTGTCCAACCAGTAAGTAAAGTAGAAATAATTGAGTGGGATTAATCACACTGAAACAATTCCAATAGTCTTGGGTAAATCACTGTCACAGAAAATCTAACAACTGGGCTGACTTTTCGATGCTTTCGTGACATGGTTTTAACAACCTGGCAAGCATTGTCTGTGTATCAAAATTAACCCATTTGTCTCCCAAGCAGCTTAAAACACATCATACACAGTATTTTCAAATGTTCTAAACTATTTCTAATCTTTTCTGGCCTGATCTTATAGATGTACAGGAGTCAATCATACACACTCTATCACGTCCCACCTCTCTCATAGCTCTCATGTGTCCAACAAATGTTCCTCAGGCTGTAACTCCGGGCCTTTGTAATTCCTTTTTACTCCATTAAAAAAGTACACTTTAGTACATAACCACACCAGTTTTGTGGCAGTTGATTAGAAAGCAACAGAGGAAACGGCCATGTTGTTTGAATTAGGTATTCAGAGAGGGACCCTTCCTTCCTTTGCCTTATGTTGGCTCAGCCCCGCTCCGCCATAATAAGAAGGTAAAGCTGGCGACGTGCCAGTCCCTTCTTGTGGCAGGCATCGGAACTGCGCTCCAGATTTAACAGGATGACTTTTAACAAGCATGATAATGTTTGAAGTATGAACACTCTGCCTGGTTTGACAGCTGGCTGTAGTAAACTCCTGAAAGGAAAAAGGCAAGAAAAGAGCGAGAACCTTTAGATTTGACGTATTTGTTGTTGTGGCGAAATCCCCCAAATCCTACAATAAGTGGATTCAGGTTGACCAACAAAAGACTCTGCAGATGTGTTCTGGAAAACAGTCATGTTATAGCTATTTTATGAGAGTACCAAAAATAAATACCCCAATAAATACACTCCAAGCTCCTTCTAATTCACTTCAACCATGCCAGTAGTGAGGCTTTATTCATTAACCCTTTACTCAAAACTTCACTCAAGTTCCATCCGTTCAAGCGTGCGCAAGTGTGTGTGCTGGTCTAGCACCACTCCTACTCTGTGGTTTTGTGGACACATATTGCCACATCAGTATTTGAAGCCACCGTGCGGCTGAGGAAACACTCTGAACTGTCACTTTTTGCCCCAGGCATGAGGTGGATTTCGGACATGTTCTCTTAACTGGTTTATCTTGGTCGCACCAAAATCCTGCGGGGCCATAAAGCTGTGAAAATCTCCTGCCTTAAACGAAAACAGATGTCAGGTTGTTTCAGGGTTCTTATCCTACGTTTGAGCATTTCCCCTAAAATCCCTTCCCCTCATGTGTTTGAGGAAGCCGCAGCCGCCGCCCAGTGGGGACAGATGGTGGCGAGTGGAAGTGGTGGCCAGACAGCATCTCCGGCTATGTGTCATCACCCTGCACCCGCTCTCCACCACACAGCCACCGAGTAGCAGTCCACGGCGGCTCCAGGCCCGATCCCAACCTCAGACCACTTACACACATGTGCTCTGGGGACCCATGACCAAATCAGTTTCCTGAAATCCTGTTCTTCTCTCGTCAACCACTAGCAGAATTAATCTCCTGCTGACGTTTAAGAATAATAAGCATGGCGGTCTTCGTTCTGGCTCATTCTGATGCTGGTTCTCTCTCAAATTAGTGCGCCGGTTCCCCCAGATTGGAGAGCAGAAAAGGATCCGGGGCTATTTTATAGTCAGTAGAGACACAGAATTGATTTGAGGCGCTTTAATTGCTTTTCAGGTGTCAACTATACATGAGCTCTCTCTAGTGGTGCTGTAATAAAACTGCAGGGTCACGCTTGTGTTAAACAGGAGATCTGTAATCGTTTATTTCTGTAAACACACTTGCTATTTAATTTTCCGCAGCGTTTTTGTTAAAATAGATGATAGATATAGTGTATCTCTGCTGATTGTCTGTGTCTAATATTGCAGGAGCTGGTGGACTACCTGCGTAATCACTCTCACAGCGCGGTGTACGCCTCAGCCATGTCCCCTCCTGTCACCGAGCAGATCATACGTGCCATGAAGTGCATTATGGGAAAAGACGGGAGCACAGAGGGTAAGCATCCGAGCTCATTGTAGCTCCTTCCAGTGAATGTCACCCTGACTCTCAGCCTTTTTATCTATACATTCATCAGACGTTCTTTACGCAGACAAATATTATGTCTAGCTTATAAAAATTTTTACACCTTTATATAATTTTTATGGAAACAACTGCAAACCAAATCCAGAGGACACTACCAATGTTAACATTAGGAATAAGACCTGCAGGGAAATACAAACAGCTGCTTGGTCAGAAAATGTGGAAGCAATTACAGGGGTCTGCAGTGGTAAGGAGAGGGGAGACGTGCAGTCCCTGAGCACACGTGACCCTAACGTGGAGGAAATCATTCTCATGTGTGTGTTGTGTGGAACGCTGTTCCTCTGAAAAGTTGCTGCCTTAATGGCATCAGACACTAGGGCAGGGAAGCAGTCGTTACCAGACTGTTCACAGCAGCACCAGAGCGATTCTTCTCCAGTCATCGTAGTCGTACTCCTGGAAATAGAAGCAGTCCTAGTGTGAGTAGTACGTTTAGTGGTATTAATGGTAAATATATGAGAGATTACAGATTAGAGTACACACTACCACATTTACAAGACTTAAAGCATGCACAATAAGCTGTGTAAACTGTGTGGCGCACAGACATAAACATCACGTCTACGTGGAGCGCTGTAATGGGTTAATCACTACAAGGACTAAAGCCTGTTATAGTTGAGGTATATTGTAGTTTCATGCAGAGATGAGTAACTTTTTCATCTGGCTCTGCACCAGACATGCTTTGCATCTGACGTAGCCTAGCAAAAGAGCTGTTGTGGAAAAATCAGTCTTGACCTGTCTTATAGACGGGAGGGAACGCAGCAAACAGTGCAGTCTTTCAAAAAAGTCTATAAAATATCACCGTGACAAGAAACTTAAGGTAGCCTTTGCATATCGGCCTAATTCTTCCTCCCAGTCTTCCTGTGTCGTCTTCATCTTTCCGTTTGATGTTGAATTTCACACAGCTCTGACAGACAGCAGCATCCACATGTTCTCGCCCACGCAAATGATTTCTGTGTCTGGCAGCAGGTTTTTGACCTCCATGCCCTCTATCTTAGCAGAGAGGAACAATTTACAAAATGGGGTCTGTGCTTTTTGGCAGATGTCCGAATGTTATGTGTTTCCCCCTCTCTCTCTCGCTCTCTCTCTCTCTCTCTCTCTCTCTCTCTCACTCTCTCTCTCTGCTGAGATAAGGGGATTTAAAGTGCTCTCTTACATCCCTTTGAAAGAACTGCCAATCTGTTCCCAGGTAATCAGAGGGAAACAGAGCTGTGTTCCAAGGCTGGGCCATGCCAAATTCTGCTGCAGCCACAGAGCGAGCAGGCTCCCCAGCGATTCACATTGTTCAGGAACACAGGGGGCGGGGGGGTCAGCAGAGCAGGCCTCGTCTGTTGCCTTTGATTTGTTTTCTAATATATTTATCTGAAATACATGTGATACTTAAGCTTTATTTGTATTCGGTTTCGGTTATGGCTAGGCTCCAGTGGTAGTCCGCAGTCACTAATTTTGTGCGAAATCCATCATATCCAATTTGTGAGCCCCCATTCTGGCAACATACAAGTGTGTATACCATGCCGTCAGGCGGACAAAACTGAACCATCTGCTGCTGCAGCTGAGTTGTAATCATGAGCAACTTCATAGCGGAGGCTAGAACGGCCCAGATGGAGGTGCAGGACTCACAATGAGATGGCGCTGCAGAGAACTCACACTACATTAGCTACTGCTGACAGGTGATGTCCCTCCCTGCAGGGGACAGCGTAAATATGGGAGGAAATGCAGTGAGTTGGTGCTTCGCTCATGTACATCTGGTGGTGTCCTTGTTTTAATTGAAGGCATGAGACGGATCCGCCAATTGGCAGAGAACACCAGATACTTCAGGGCCAGGCTGAAGGAGATGGGCTTCATCATCTACGGCAATGATGACTCACCTGTGGTTCCAGTGCTGCTCTACATGCCAGGCAAAGTGGTGTAAGTACACTTAAACTCTCAGCAAAAAAACACTTGTCTCTTTTAGAGTAGAGCGAAATGATCTGTATATTCATTGTACTTGGGCTTATTTTGAACCAGTAAATATTAACTTCCCTCGTTGTCACAACCAATTTGCTGCCAGCTCAACTTGTATCATCTCTAAGTGATTTGGATGGCAGCCATATTACTTTCTCCAAAGTTTCCGTGAATCAGTAGTGAGGAGTCATGCAGCCTGTAACCACTTAAGAGGCAACATCAGGTATTGATTAGGTATAACCCTGGACTGTTTGAGTCCCTCAGGTATACAATCAAATGGGTATAAAATGTCTTTCAATGCCAGTTATCATTAATATCCACAAAAAGACAGATCTAGCCTAGTAATTGCTCCAAAGTACTATCATGTAGCTGATTTTAAGTCACTCTGTTATCACGTTTGATTGTAAAAGTTGAAATTTCACTTGTGTCAGATATGATTTGGGGGAAAAAAGGTGTCTTGTCAACACTGAACATTTCTTATCAATAATGTAAATGTATCGTTTTTGTTGATGCTCAGTATTCATCTTAAATACACAAAGCTGTAACATTTGTGAGGTCAAATACCATTTTCAGAACATATTTTAAGGTTAAACCTCTTCCAAATGTCTATTTTGCCGCAAAACAAGCCATTCCCTGCTTGACGTCAGCAAAGGAAAAAGTCATGAAATTGAGCTATGTTGCTTCTGCTGTGTTGCTATGTGCTCTTTTTAATTTACGGTGCTTTGCAGAAATTATCACAAGTCTTTCAAACCACACATTCCCACTGCATAATTAAGGATTTAGAAGGAGCAGCAGTCCTCGTGACTTGCAAATGCTTCTCATTCTAATGTGGCTTGTTTGCTCATTTTGGAGACTTTAGACCTCAAAAATGTGAGATACGTTGTTGCGTAGTTTTGTATTTATAGGTAACTATTGATGCTGGTTTCCACAGTAGGTCCTCTAGTCGATTAGACTTTGTATGGGACACATCACACAGTGCATCATGTTGTCTGAAAGGTTTGTAATTTTGAAAAGGAGAAAAAAAAATCATTGCAACACAATTTATCATTGTATTGAGGATTTGAAGATCAGGGGATTTTAATTCTGGCATTACAAGGAATACAATGCAGATGATTGAACCAGAGGGTTAGGTTGGATTTAGTTTTTGTATCTGAAGTTATTTGTGTACCAGAATATGTTCAAACTGATAGTCGTTTCTTCTGTTTTTTTGTTGCTGGACAGGGCTTTTGCTCGGGAAATGCTGGAGAGAAAAATCGGCGTGGTGGTGGTGGGCTTCCCGGCCACCCCGATCACCGAGGCCCGAGCTCGCTTCTGCGTGTCTGCGGCTCACACCAGAGACATGCTGAACCAGGTACACACACACACAGGAGAAACCGACCGACACGAAATTCCTCTCCTTTTTTTTTTTCACCTGAACGAAACATACATACATGTTCTGAGACTTTCCGCCCTCCTCAGGTGCTGCACCACATGAACGAGGTGGGAGACGCTCTCTGTCTGAAGTTCTCACGGCGGAAATATTCCTCTCGGCCTGACCTCTGTGATGAGACAGACTTTGAGCTGGACAGCTGATATGACCCCTGACACCTTAACTTCACAGTGTCAAAACTAAGTGTCCACGCCGCTGCAGACTCATAAACACACAACGTCAGGGTAACACCCTTATCTCACAGCAGAAGACGGGCCAAATGTTTGGCAGCTGCTTTTTATATGTTTGTAACACTTTATGATTCAACAGAAAACTTGTTTGTGCTTCTTTAAAAGACCAAACCATATGAACTCTTGAAATACTATTTTGTAATACATTTATTTGTGGATATATGGGAAATTTTTGCACAAGCATTGCTGGACTGGTCTCAGCCTCAAGTAAGGTGTAAAATATCTTCAGTTATTTAGCTTATGCACTGAGACAAATCACACATTGTTAGATCAGTTTAGAAGTTAAGCTCATCTTAAGTCCCGTTTGAAGACAGGTTTGAAATTTTAGATCACATGTATTAAATGTTTTTATGTCTATATTTAGACGCTAAAAACCTCCTTTGGAAGCATTTTTTGCTTCACATAAATTAATATCAGCCACCACTGATTAGAAACTCTGAGAATTATCAGAGAATAGTACACAGTTGCTGAAAATATGATGTAAGGAGTCCTGTTTACTTAATTAAAGTATTATGAAATGCATTTGTTTTAGTCTTCCATTCAAATTCTGCAGTTTCATCTGGTTTACTGCTCTGTGCCAGATAATTGAGCCTGCTGATTTTTGTTTTTTTCCAAGAAAACACAATTACTGTGCATAACTACTTCCCAAATCTGTTTTGGATACGGAGGTTGATTAATTATCCGAATGACATGTTTCTAAAAGTTCCGAGCCCTCCCTTTGTAACTGCGCTAATTTCCCGATGCGTGATTATTTACACTACTCACAACTGAACAGATCAAGCAAAAGTCGACAGAGACTTTGTGTTCCACAGTGAACTGTTTTTACAAAAAATCTCCTCGGTTTAACACCACTTTCATCTCGGCAGTAAATGATAGCCTTCCTGTAAATAATAGATCATGCAGCAATTACTTCTTTGACATGCAGTTAAATCTCAACAACCCGCGTGCAGAATAAAAAAGGTGTTACGGCTTGTTTTGTGGCGAGACTGCTCATATTCACTGAGTCTTAACAGCTTAATTGTTGATGTTTTAAAGACCTGCTGTTCTCTTTCCCACACAAACTGCGTAACAGTCGTGAAGGTAAGCATGCAGAATATGCAGCACCTGAGCCAACAGAAACCTTACCTAGCAATTAGCGCTGAACTCCAAATTCTCGCGGTATGGGGTAATCATTTGATTAGCACAGGAAGGATTATAGATGGATGATAAATGTGTTTTCACAGTGTGTCAGATTGGGTCTAGTCGACACTTGCTTCTCCTCAGGACGTTGCCATGTTTGTATTTTTCTCTCCATGAACAACATAGTGATGGCATTTTACAAGATGGTATAAAAATACAATATGCATCTCTTGGGGAACTAGCACATGAACATACATACAGTAAAGGGGGAAAAAACATTTTCCCCTAAAGGAGAAAACTCTTGAAATCTGTTCTCTATACTGGATCACTTTGGTCTGTTAGTGAATATTTCACATCTGGCTCCTATAGCCAGAAACAATAGAAAACAGTTACTTTAATCCTCCAATCTGTGATGTCATACCAATGTACTATTTTCATAAAGATCTGTAGGAGATGGGGAAAGGTGGCCTCAAATGTTGCATCGGGGTGCGCTAACGTCCTCCGGATGTCTGTTATTAATTTTTATTTACTTTCACCTTTAGTCTACATGTGAACATTGTGAAATTCATCGCAGCTGAAGACAGATGTGTGTAAAGAGAAACTCAAAAAAAGCTTCTCGGTGCATCACAGACTGTTCAAACACTAAGCTCTGCTGTGATTGTACAGAAAAGGCAAACTTCAACTTGCTGAGACTTAACGGCAACATTTTTTGCAGAGTTGCACAGTAGGGAGAATGCTTGTTCTAGGGATCTCATATTTCACAATGAATTTTGAGAATGAAATTAAACTTGGACAGCGTATTGGTGGCTTTTTTTTTTTTTTTTGCTTCAGCGTTCAGATTTAACGTGTGGGGAGGCGAATCACACAGAGCACTGGAGGACAGATTTGTGTGGCTCGACTGGAAGAAGCCTTATATAACCCTAAACTTGAAAGAAAGTGCAGACAGATTTTAAAATTTGTCTAGTTCAGACTGTATAATTGCATTTTTTTTTGGAAAGCAAAGTGGTTGTCAGCAGCAAATTTGCATATTTCATCAAATGCATCTTCGTCTGTGCAGACCACTTATATTAAAACATGATGAACATCCTTTTTTTCCTTTTTTTTTTTTAATAGCATTTCATAGTTCTATTCATTATTTTTAAAGAAACAGTTGTCATCAACATAAGGACTTTGTTGTGGTATCACTACACTGCAGTGGTGTCCATTTCAAACAGGCCAGGGAGGCCAAGTGACAGCGTTGGGTAATACACACCGACTGTCAGGCAAGGTGGGAAGCACGAGTCCTGCCAGGCTTCCTTCCAGTCACTTGTAACTGCCTTCAGCTTCAGCAGAAGTGGCAAATGGTCTGCGCTGGCATTCAAAACATCTGTGCGGCCAGACTACTGGTGGCAAGGCCCCAGAGACCTGCCTGCCTGCACCAGCCTCTTTTGAACTGCAGATCCAAATACGCTGCACTTATTGGAATGGCATGTAGCTGCTATTCTGAAGGGGGATCCTCTGCTACGCCTTTGATGTCCACCACTGTGTCCAAAGCAGGCAAGCCATTCTCACTGCTCTCTGTTTTCCATTTAGACAGATTTTTTTCTATTCTGGAGAGGGGAGTTTTGAAGTGAGGCAGGCAAAGGGACAGATGTACATGGTTTGGACAGCTATAAGTAAGACTGCAGTAAAGCTGCATACTGGGAACCACTTGTTAACTGGGGGCATAATGAAGCAGGCCAGGCTGCTGGTGGTGTGTTTCATTCTTACAGAAGATGACATGGAGCAATTTTTGCTGTACTTTTGACCCAATTTAGACATTTGATCGGCCCCATCAGATACCTGTGAGATCATTTGGACTGCTGCATTTAGGGATTTAAGGGTGTTATGAACTAAATGTAATATTTTATTTGGTAAGATATAGTATTCTTAGGTAATATATCTGTATGCTATATATGGGTACACAATTATACATATATTGTGTGTATTTTTTTGGATGGTATGCCATGGAAACAGCTGTTATAAAAGCCCCCTCCTTTAAGAACTGACATCTTCCGAAGCGTTTCAGAGAGTGCATGAAAACCAAATGACTAGTTTATGCTTCTTTTTGTGTTGGTTTGACATTTACTTGTGCGCCACTTCTCATTTTTGATGTGTGAAATTTAGTAACTCAGCATAAAGCACATTCTTTGTAAGAGTGAAAACAAACTTTCACTTGAAAATATTTATTTTTATGAGGAGAAAAAAACCCTTTTGCTATGATGTAGTTTATGTATTTTGAAAAAAACTGTTGTCCACTGAAACCGTCCTCCTCATAGTTGATGGACCCTTTAAATGTGTGTAATCCCAGCTAACTGGGACAAAGGTTGGTCTTTTACTGTTCAGGGCTTTGACTTTTTACTGCTTTACGCTCCATCTTGCTTATCTTCATCACCGGCTTTCTTTACATTAAAAACAAGATGCCACTGAGCTTTCTGGTGGAGAGACACATAATTTACATCAGCTGAGGTCAATTCAAGGCCTAAGAATGTCTTCCAGGAATCATGCAGGAGGCTTATTTCCCCTGACCTGCACATTGAACTAAGTGAATCCTGTTGTGTTTGATTGTATTTGACATATTGGAAACCAGTTCCAAGAGAACTTATATGCACAAAACAATATCACACCTACAACACCCTACTTGCTCATTTTTAGGTTTGTGTTCTTCCTAATACATATCAGACTCATCTGAGTGATGTGCACACAACATGTTTCTGTACTACGGATTAAATCATGCCTGCAGCTAAACTTGGAGAGATTTCACACTCGCTATTATGACATTGACAATGTGCGCCACTGCCAGGTAACACGATCTGGTTAGTTATCATCAGTATCATCACTGTTCCACGTGTGAACGCATCGACTTCAAAGGTGACAGATGATGGGGAATGCGTGCCCGGAGGATCAGTGAACTGTCACCCATGCAAGCAACAACAGCAGCAGGAGCAGCATCCCTGCTTAGTGCATAATTTGACGCAGCGGCCTTTGCGCTTTGAAGCGGACAATAAAAAAGCCTCACAAGGGCTAATCACATTACGCACCATTTGTCTTGCTTAAGTGAAGTGTTACAGCACCTTCCGTTTCAGCGGCACACCGAGACAAGGCTGCTGCTGTACACATGTCAACATGAGAGGCAGACCTCCTGCGATGCGCCTTCGGGTGTCTTTCCTCTCCGCTGCGACGCGCCTGTGCGCCTGGTGCGCCTCCGGGGACCACCACGGGTAGTTTAAGTTGAGCAGAGACTCCTTATTGGGCATATCTATTGATTTTTTGTTTTTAAAAGTAAAATGTGTTGTTATAAATTAATCAGTAATGCGCATTAAAATGAGGATATCCTGTGAAATCTGTCATTATAGTTTATAAAGGTGCGTTTTTGTGCCATTTTAATCCAGTGACAAGATTGTGCAGTGACAATAGGAGCACATATATAAAACCTCGGGTTACTTTCTGGGTCTTTCTCAAGATGTTAAACCCGGCTGGGCTTCAGTTTGGAGAGGAGGGACGAAAGAGTTAATCAGGGGGAGGGCGCCTGCACAGGGGCGTTTGGTATAAAACCACCTCAAGAGCGCACAACAAGAACAGCGTGTGTCCCAGTGAAGCCGTAGTTTGATATGGTTTGACTTGTTTCCTCCTTCAGGACTTGTTGGAGACGCACACCAGTGCGACTCTGCCATTTCTCCGGGCCCACAATCCACAGCAATGGATGATTTTTGAGAGCAGACACAATTCCGCCGTGAAAGTCTTACTACTGGGAAGATCTCTGTGATTGTGGTTGGGGTTTTTTTTTTTTTTTGTCCCTCTCCAACTACCTGTACTTTTGTCTCCAAAGGTAGTCTCGCCGGATCACGCAGAATGCGGACGAAACAAGAAAAGCTGAAGAAGTGGAAGTGAAGAAAAGTTGTAGCATGAGGCTGAGAATGTGGCGGGGACACCACGGGGCAACAGGGCTGCAAGTTTCCTGAGCTTTGGAGATCTGACGAGGGCGCAACAAGAGCGGAAAGTGTTAATGCTGCACGCTGGATCAGCCACGCAGGATTCACTGTGTTTATTGGCACATCTGCGTAAAGAAGCTCGCATTAGGCTGAAATCAATGAACAATAAGTAAAAGAAGGGATTTTTTCCTTTTTTTTTATCAGGACAAAACCAACGTTTATAAAAGAGAAAAACAACAACACTGGATTCAAATTAAACTTCAGCAGTTTCTTAGATTACTTGAATCCCACTCCTCCGATCCGTTTCCCGTCTTTTTTTTTCTTTTTTCATTTTTGCAATTGTGATTCCCGAAGTGGCTCCGAAGTGGTGTTGCGGCTCCTCGTCCCCGGCGGATCCGGAGATTGGAGTCTCTGCACCGGGAGGAGGCGGAGTCGGAGCTCCGGCCACACCGCAGGCTCCCAAGAGCGGCCGCGTCAAAAGGATGGTGCGTCTGGCGGCGGAACTGCTGCTGCTCCTGGGACTTCTTCTCCTCACCCTGCACATCACGGTGCTGCGCAGCAACCCGCTGCCACAAGCAAATGGAACTCTGAGCGTGGATCAGGACGCGACACTTAGAGAGGTGAGTCAGGAAGTCTTAAAGGGAGACTTCTTGGAGGGGAATTTTACGCACAACGGGATATCTCTGATGTGATCACACATGGGTTTGATTTTTTTTTAAAAAAGAGCTCAGGTAGAATGAAGACCACATTCCCTTGGGAGGGGGGGTTCCTTTGGAGACACACAGGGATGCAGTCTCCCACAGGGTGTCCCTTGGGAGTGTTGGGGAGCCAGCGGGTCAGAGATCAGCCCCCCCAACACTAGACACACCTCCCTATTGTTGGGGGTAAATGCTGGCTGCAGGCACATCTCTGTCACCATGGGCTCATCACTGTCATCCATTTGATAAGGCAGAAGGTCAAAGATGAACTCCTGAAGGTGCCCCATTCTTGCCAGAAGAGTCAGTGTGGAGGAGAATCTGGCATCAATCTGTTCTAAACTTTTTATTTCCTCCTGAGCTGTACTCACCTGATCAGATTAAATAAAGTTCACTAAAAAAAAAAAAAAAAACTCTTCTGACTGGTCAAAATCCATTATTTAATGAGGCCTTCCGGGTCCACTCTAGAACATGCCTCAACAAACTTTCACAAGGGAGACATTTGTCAACATGACACCACTTAAGACAGCTTTAATGGTTTAACTGCCCATTTTAACATCAGCATAAAGCACACAGACTCCAGCAGAGCCCCAAATCCTGACCCGAGGGTTAAGATGGGTCTGGGATCAACAGGCCTTTTTAGAGGGTGTTAAGCATCCTTCAGCTGCTTTTTTGATGTATATTTAGCACGCCACTGAAATACTTTCTTCTTCTCCTCGTGATAAACGCGTATTTATGCCCACTGGTATGGTGGTCCTTTATAAATGCCTTCATTAGGGCTTCGGGGAAATGAATGGAAAGAATTTTCACTTCATCACAGCATAGTAAAAGTTTTTTTTTCTTCTTATCTCTACTATCACAGTGTATATGCAACAGCAAGCCTGTGTTTTGTTGGATATTAGGCCACGCAAAGCTGCAGGAAATATTCCAGGAATTTATCGAATATTTGTCACACAGCCAAATGTTGGTTTGGATGAGCAGGATGAGAAGCAGCAGGGAGTTTCTCCTGAGGAATCCAAGTAAAAATACCTAAACGCATGCCACCCATCCCAACTTCAACATTTCTTTTGTCATTAGTCCAAATTTACATAGAGATTCTGCTGTGTGATGAAGCCAGGGACGAGCCGTGAATGTTTTTTCTTCTTCTTCTTTTTGCTCATGAATGCACAGACTATGTGCAGATATGCTTCACCAACCCTCCATTGAAGACGGTGATGTCATCTTTCAGCCGTGCTTGTCACGGCCCAGGGGGTGTATTGTCATCCCAAGGTGTCATATTTAAAATGCCATTCACAGGAACACAAATGACAGGATGCAGCTCTGTGCACCTGAAGTGGAGACAGAAAACTCTTTGGTCCAAGACACATTAGCATCTTGGCCCCGGAAGGCCACTGTGGTACCGCACAGTTAGCATATTATTACAAACTCAACACAATATGAGAGCTAACGCAGTACACCATAATGAATCAGGATTTTCTCCTCTTGAGCCTATTTGCACGTTTTCTTTTCAAGAGCTCTTTTAAGGCATCTTCGGGTAAATAAACATTTGCCAGTCTGAGGCGTCTGACAGGGGAAGGATGATTTTCTCCTCCACCTACATAAGTGTAGTGCTGAAAAGCATCTGGCACAATGTGGACTGCCTTCATTTCCTGCCAGCCTCCCCGGGGGGAAGGACCCCTGAGTTGCTCCCAATTGAAAATAGAGTCATGCCCCTTTAAGCAGCTCCTCACAAAGTGGAAAAGGGGGAAGCGGGAAAAGAAGAAGAAGAGATACTGTGAGGAGGGAGAGGGGGTGGCTTGTGTGTGCAAGTGTTCATTCATGGCTTTTGGGAGTTGGAGGGGAGGGGGGGTGAGGGGGGTGACATCCTGGGAGGCCCCAGATGAACTGAGGACTGGTGTGTCACTTTTGATCTCCAAATTAAAGCATGTTCGTCATTGAGGAGGCTCTCAGATGAGTGATAGGGACTGTAAAGCAGCCGTTATCAAAGAGCAACGCTGCCGATTTTTTAACATTTAAATGAGTTTGTCCCGCTGCAGCCTCGGTTGTAGAGAGGAGAGCAAATTTTTAGAAAACAACATATTTTTCTCATTAGCTTGAGTTTCAAACTCCACTGAGAGTCATTTGGAAAAAGGCAGAGAGAGGTGTTTACGTTGACATTATATGGAACTGACAGACTTTACACAACTAATACGGGACTGCCAGTCCTTTACGATTGTAATTTTCAACCCTTCTGATTCTCCTCAAACATTCTGCTTAGATTCTGATTAAGACAAAAAAAAAGCATAAAAGGTCTCCAACTTGGAAGTATAAAATTTCATGGCTTGTCCTTCACACTGCTGAGTTCCCAGATGGAAATACAGATTTAGTGAAATGTCAGTGCTCGCAGGAAAAAGCAGCTTAGATTTCTTTTTTGGCTGAGTGATGGACTGTCTTTAGTAGGACAATCTCAGACATTTCCTATTTACATACAAGTTCAAGGCTTTAATCACAGCAACATATTTACGATTATATACCATGTAAGAAAAGATTTGGATGTGTTTACAGTTAGAAAATCACCATCTGGTCAGTTGGCACCAAAAAAAGCGAGGCACTAAGCCATCCACTGACATTTATTGTCTTTGCTTTGACTGTTCAAAGGCTAGAAATGAAAATGTTATAATGAAATATTAACTTTTAGCAAAGTCACATTGGCTTTTAGGTCTGTGGGAGGTGATGCTGGCCAATAGATGACGTGAAGTGGCTTCTAAATGCAGGGATTTTGGTTTAAAGCCACTAAAATGTGGGAAATCCAAGATTAGGACAACGTGTAACTCATGTAAATGTCGCTACTCTGGGTGGCGCTCATACTTTATGTGTGTTTGACGCTGCTAAATGAAGTAGAAATATTACTTAGTGAATATAGTTTGTGCATTTTATTTTACTTATTCACTTTTTCTACACCTCCATGAGTGTCATCAGACAGATCGTGGCTCAGTTTGTAAGCTGTGTAACCTTTACAGGTGACAGATATCATGTCCCGTAGAAAACTGCTGTCAGTTTATAGTGACCTTAACAAACATGTTCCTGGTGATGAAACACACTTGTACAATGATGTCAACCAAGCACAACAAAAAAAACAAAAACGTTCATATTCAGTAGAGCTTAACAGTCATTTGAAATATCGAGATCACAACAGGGCCAATTATTCAAATCGCAGGACCTGCAGTTTTCAGATAAAGGTACAATGTCTCACACAAACCATTATCAATGAACTGTTCTGGTGCTACAGAGGCCTGCAAATCACATCAAACAACATGTAAACGAACACGCTAGTTTGGCACATAATGCAGAAAAAACTGCATCATATTTTTATTATTATTATAATTCCTTCAGATTGCAATATGTTCACATAATCACAATATGATTTTATTGTGTGTTGTTCTGCCTTATTGTTCACTGAGGTGATTTAAGAACTAACGCAATCATGAAACTCACTGGAAAGATGGCTGATTGTTTTAGATTACTCCAGTTGCAAACCTGTTTTTTTTCTGTGTCCTAAGCAACACAATACATGCTACAAACATAAATCAAATCACATTCATGCTGCTAAGCTGCCAATACTTAGCCATAAACTGACAAACTTTTCGTGTTTACATGCAGGCTTCAGCTCAGAAGGCTCCCATACTGTGCGAGAGTCGTTCTGGGATTAATCAGAATACTTTAAAGACTTTGGCTTTAAATAAACCAAATTTGTGTCAGGATTTAAAAGAAAAAAATCTGCCTGCCATGTGTAACACAGCAGAATATGACAGAACAGAAGATTCGGATAGGATTAGACTGGATAATGGGGGATTAATTTGCCTGCAAACACTGTGACTGGGTTCACAGTTTGTGTATTCTGGAATATTTATTGCAGCATCTTAAACTCATGGAGACGGTCATAACTCCATAGCAGTGCTTTTTGTGTTTCTCTCATCTCTGGATGAATTTCCTTATACAAGTGTGACTGAAGACACCTCACAGTCTGATGATGACTTTGGTGTGTTTTCAGACAGCAGATTTAAGCGACTATTTGTAGTCATTCAAGAGGATTTTACTCAATCTGCATTTAAACGCTAACAAAAATCCATCCGAATATAAACCACCCAGAAGAGCTCCACCACACCTGTTTGCTGTAATGCATGGTTGTATTTGCATTGTGATTTCACTTGCGAGTGTTGTGTTGAGGCTGCTCCCTCAGCTGGAGCTCAATTACAGCCAACTGAAGTGAAATCTGAAGACTGGGAACTTGAAAAGCAGGGTTATCACATGGGCATCTCAAAGTCCAAGTACGTGTGATAGAACCAAAGAGGGTCCTGTGATGTTCACATAAAGGGTCGATAGCTGAGGCACAAACTACGCTGCTGATATGATGTTTTTCTGCACCGAGCCCTCAGCCATAATTGTTTGGTTCTGAACCAAGACATTTGTGGTCTTAACTCGAATCTGCTTTTTTTTTTTTCCAGAATCTTTTTACCCTCAAATTTTATGATTCTGAACGTAAATTCTCATAAAAAATAAGCGATCCTCTTATCTACACTCAAACCTCTTCCTCTTCTTATTTGGTGGCTACAGGCAACATTTCAGAACTCCTCTTTCTCAAAATCAGGGCCACTTGTGTAATCACTGTAATTATGGGCAAAAGCTGACATTAAAAAAAATGTCATGAGAAAGTTTTCATATTCTCTGAAATCTATCATGTCATCATATTAACTCCATCTGGTCCCTGGTTGCGAATCAAACAGAGTGATACTAAATGGATACGGAAGTCTTTCCGTGCGGCCGCCGTCTCTCTGCGGTTGAATACAAGTTACATGTACATTTATAATCCTTCCTCCCTTGCCGCGCAGCTCCATTTACAGCGTCCTATATTGCCCCCGAGTGCACCTTGGCTGGACACAAACAGCTCCACTGGGGGCTTTTATACCCACCACAATGTGGCTGAGCTGACACTTTGTCTGTGACTGGCCACCGCAACCGTACAGCACTGCTGCCATATTCTCAGGCCTCAGCACGGCCACAAAAACGCTAGGGAGGAAGAAATGGGACATGAAAAAAGAAAACAGGGAACATGATTGATGGCTCTCTTTGATCTTATTTTCTGCCACCCCACAATGGATGATTGCTGACTACTTATGGCTGTTTGTCCAATTGAGGAATAATTGTTCCTTCTGTGCATACCTGACAGGGGACATATGCCTCAACTGTCCTTTTGGGATGAATTTACAACACCCCTGTCAGAAGACCAAATGTTTTTCTGTCTACAAGAAAGCAGATGTAATTACTTTGCAGTGTTTGCTTAGGTTTCTCTGGATAGCCCCAGTGCAGGAAAACCAACAGTCTTACATAGCTGTTTTCTCCCAGCCAGCACTAGAACGTGCTATATATGTCCACATCATATTACTATGGTAAAGAAGCAGCAGCAGCATACAGCTAAAAATGGAAAAAAAATATACAGTCTGGATGTGACACTAGTTCTGAATGTTAGGTTTTAGACAGATTATATTTTGGTGGAAGCATACAGACGCACAAAACTCAGTGTGATGTTTGTCCCACTATTTCTTTCTGGGTTCTAAGTAGTAAAGAGTCCACTGTCCGCAGGATTTACGACGGAGGTCATGGCCACATGAACCTCTGTCAACATGAGAGATCAATCTAATGTTGCTGAGTGTGCAGACTCTTTGGATGCCAGAGGACTTAGAGGGCCTCTCAGTTTTAACATTCACACAAGAAGTTTTTTTTTTCTTATCATGCCCAATGCATATGTAGGCACAAACTAACAGTGAATTAATATTACTGTCCTTTCTCTCCTCAGCAGAACAACATAAATGTAAAAAGTAGCTCCTCTGCCCAACTGGCTCCTGAAGACCGGAGGTCCGGTCCAGAACACCGCTTGGCCCATCGGCCTGCAACCCTCCCCTGGGCTCAAGGCAGCAATGTACACAGGGATGGCCCCGGAGCTTTCCTCCTAGATCTGCACAATTTCCCTGACCTCTCCAAAGCCGATATCAATGGACAGAATCCCAACATACAGGTGATCATGTGTGTCAGTGCACCTGCCGGTGTACTTTGATGCTTTCACTCGCTGAAGACATGGCTACTCAAGCACATAGGACAGGAAGAGCAAACAGGAGGAAGGAGAATAGTTTGGTGCACATCACTACACCCTTTTTTCTCCCCCCTTCCTTCTCCCCTTTCACACACTTCCTGGCTCGTAGTAAAGCTTAAGATAGACACTGAAGCCTCACGTCAATCATAATGACATGTGAAAAGGAAGACACTAACCAGCAGCGCCTCACTACTAACCCATGCACAAGAAGACAGACGGCAGCTTATGTAAATGTGCGGCGAGCCCTCGCCCGTAAGGCCCTCAGTGATGCAGATGGTTGAGTAACCGCTGCCATGTTTTAAATCATTCTCCTGTCTAATCCAGCGAGGGGGGTCTTTCCATTTCTGAGGGCATCACTGCTAAATTCGAGCATGAACAAAGTCTATTAACATCTCAAGATGTGGGAAGAGAGCAGAGCGACCAATTGAGCAAGGGCGTGAGGCTGTGGGGGGAGGCGGGGGGGAGGAAGAGAGGGAGGAGGGGGGGCGTCTTTGATCCTGGGATTCATCTGGCTTTCATGGTCTGGAGGAGGCTGAGTAGCCCTTTGAACTTTGTGTTTAGGTGGAGAGAGCCCAAGAGGTGGGAGGGTGACTGTGGGGCAGGGGTGGTGTTCCCCCCTCATCTGGGAGGCACATGTGTTAGGGCAGAAAAAGGGGGAGGGGGTAACGTGGTGAATAGGGGTATCAGAAAGTGCCACCTTACTGCACTCAATCGAAAATGTGCACTTCTTTGACAAGATCAATTTCTTCTTTCATGCAGGTGACCATAGAGGTGGTGGACGGACTGGAGGGTCACGAGCCAGAGAAAGGCCTTCGTAAGGAAAGCAAACCCAACTGGGCTTCACCTAACTGGAGAAACTGGTGGCCTCACACATCTTCATCCTCCTCCTCCTCCTCTTCCACCACCCACCAAACAGAGGAGCACGATCGCTCCTATGGGAGCAACACAGAGGACAGCAACTTCCTCAGGCCGCCGGCAGACTGGGACAGGAGGGGAAGCAAAGCTCAGACCGAATATGGTGAGAAATGACAGGAGGGAGCCCTCATGTTCGGGAGGAAGTGAATGCATGCTGCAGAATATTTAGCCTCGTCCATAGGCTCTTATTTGAGCGCCGGTCCCCAGCGTTTCCACAGATGGCCATAGTCTGATGTGGAATCTGTAATTTGCAGATTTGCTGATTTAAGCTGTCACCATAATAAGTGCAGTCATCCTAGGCAAGCCTTTAGGAGCCCCTGATTGAAGCCTTTAACACTCTTTTATGAGATGGATTCCTCTGTGTTGTGGAGCTAGCTACGAGACACAGTTTAAACGCCTCGCTACATCAAAGTTTAGTAAGAGGAATGGGGCCAGAAGCACTGTTAGGCTTCCACACCATTCTCACAACACTCTCCAAAAGTAACCCCGCAGATAAATCTGCCGTGAAAGAATTTACGCTCACTGTCGTACAGTATGTGTCCGGCCCGTGTTGCAGCATGCCCAAACCAACATGGTCGAACAGGAATGCATGTGCTGTGGAAAATGTCATTTTATCCACTTGCACTACAGCGGTTAGGACGAGGATTTTATAATGTTTTTTGTAGAACTATGCGTAATGTTTCTGGCTTATCACTGTGGCGAGCACTCATTCTTCCTTTATTTCGTACCACACTAATGGACAAGGACATATTTTGTCATCATTACTGTCTTGGTTTTAAACTTAATAATCGTAATTGCGGACAGGCAGTGAGGGGTCATCCATCACAGGACGTTCAGAGCAGCTGTGGTCTGAGCAGAGGTTATTATCAGCTAAATTCTGAGCTGCCACCAGTTCCGCAACATGCTTTCAGGGCGGGTGGGGAGCGGCGCTACATGGCTATCTGGTCTGTATTCATACAAAATGCTCATAATCAGGGGCAGATGGCAGCAGGGGGGGTGTATAGGAAGGTTTGGAGCCCATCCAGAAATGCTTCCATCCCAAAATGCCCACATTAATTCTACTCATTGATGAAGTGCTGCTTTCAAGGTGCGTGCGGTACGGCCAGTGATGGCGGCGGTGCAGCAAGATGGCCATAGAGCCTTGGCTAACCGTTTCCATGTATATACATTACGGTGATGCGCTCGATGATAATTGGAGTTAAAGAGGATTTCTTGCCATTTCACTTCCCATTTTCAAACCGATGAATCACAGATACAGCAGCTGAACGGTGTCCAGTGGCACTGCGTCTGCGATGCTCCGCCAGCACGGAAAATTTCTATTTGTAAATTGCCCTCTGGATCCCCTGTAGATTTGTTGGAATTTGCTAAATGCTTTCCAGTTCCTTCACGGACTGAACTCGCATACTTCTCCACTTGACAATTTTGCGTTAGCATGTACAACACAGTGTATGCAAGGGTGGGCAGGCAGGCTGAGGAGCAAAGTCAAAGTGAGCCCTTTTTATGTCCTAACCCCACTTATTATTAGTGAGGCATGCTAACAGGCCTGAGTAAGTCCAGCATGTGGCCTGCATCAGAGCTGAGGGTCTCTTTGTTTCTCTCTGATCTAAGACTACATGGACGGAGAGGGTGACTGGAGCAACTGGTCAGCATGCAGCGTCACTTGTGGAAACGGCAACCAGAAGAGAACCAGGTCATGTGGTTACGCCTGTACAGCCACCGAGTCCAGAACTTGTGATATGCCAAACTGCCCAGGTAAAATCTTGTCTTTTGATCACAGAAACAATGCTTATATAAGTATAGTTTTTATGTCCACGTGCTGATTTACAACTCTCTCATCTTTTTGATCCACCTTTCACTGTGCATTCATCTCTCTAAAGGTATTGAAGATGCCTTCAAGACAGCAGCTACTGAAGTGAGCCTGTTAGCTGGAACAGATGAGTTCAATGCCACAGAGCTCTTTGGTGTTGGTAAGATTTTGTCTGCTCTTGTCTTACTCCAGACTATCCCTCATTCAGATGTTCTTACACTATCAAAGGCAGTTCATCCATCTGGCAGCAGCGCTCCTGCACACACTTAGCATTCCTCATGCTCGCGCTGTGCTCCATTACTGTGCAGAGAATGTGCAGCAGGGCAGGAAGAGCGCAGTATGCCGCTGCTCGCTCTGTCTTTGTCTGTCTGGTCCTAATAACCTCACCTCCATGTTAAATATTACACCTTCTCACACTTTTGGTTTCATCTTCTAACGTTAGAAAGGAGATGTTGCGTTTAATAGAGTCTTCATTTCTTCCAGACACTGACAGCTGCGAGCGCTGGATGAACTGCAAGAGCGATTTCCTGAAGAAGTACATGACCAAGGTGGCCAACGACCTTCCCAGCTGCCCCTGCTCTTACCCAACCGAGGTGGCGTACAGCACAGCAGACGTACACGACGCCCCCACGCGCCGAGACTTCCGCTGGAAAGACGCCAGCGGGCCCAAAGAGAAGCTGGAGATCTATAAGCCCACAGCCCGCTACTGCATCCGCTCCATGCTGACCCTTGAATCCACCACACTGGCTGCACAGCACTGCTGCTACGATGACAACATGAAGCTCATCACTCGCGGCAAAGGGGCCGGCACGCCCAACCTCATCAGCACGGAGTTCTCAGCCGACCTGCACTACAAGGTGGACATCCTGCCCTGGATCATCTGCAAAGGAGACTGGAGCCGCTACAACCAGGCCAGGCCACCGAACAACGGGCAAAAATGTCCAGACAACCCTCAGGATGAGGACTACTACAAACAGTTTGAAGAAGCGAGGGAATTCTAGCCCGCTGTAGAGTGAAAAGGAAAGGAAAAAACACTGCTTAAGTATTCAGTTAAACCTCAAGAATGGTGCTGAAACCATTTTTTATTCAGTTTTAGGTCAAATAACACATGAACTTTTAGGCTCTGAGGAAAGACTTACTGCTCTTTGGAACCAAGAGGAATGAAAATCCAACACAACCCTACTTACTTGCTCGCAAGGAACTTTCTCTCCTCAAAACCAGACACAAAACGTTACTTTGTCTATCTAATAAATTTTATAAAGTATGCCAGTAATTTTGCTGCCAATTGTAACTCAGATTTGGTCACTAAAGGGAGAACTAACTTCATATTTGTTAAAAGGGAAAATTACTGTCGTTGAAATGTCCATTTAGATCATGTTCGTCTCCGTAGATTCTTTATGTTTGTTGAATCGGAGAGGCCTGTGGTAATAGAATAAAGAGATCCCTCAGGAATGTGTCAGGGAGGCGGGGGGCCAGGGTTATCCTTCATTTTGTCATTCACAGTATCCAGGATTTCATTTAAACTTGCGAGTATGTTTATTTAGCATGCACATTTTTTTTTTTAATTCATTAATTTACCCCTGTAATTTAACTGTGTCCCTTGTGTCGCTGAGGCAGATCTTCATTGTACAAAAAGCCTGCATTATTTTTGTAAAGTATTTATTAAGTTGTAGCTGTGTCTGAGTCGGGTGTCTATGACTGTGGTTACTGATTCACATGTGGCTGAATGCTAACTTGAGATCCCGCTCCGGTTCGTACGTTGCCATCGATGTGCACATCTCAAGTTAGGATTCAAACCGTAATAGAGCGTAAAGAATGTGTGAATTCAACTGTACGGAAAGATTTTTTTTTTTTTGTTGAGATATAAATCTATAAATAAATTTTTTAAAAAGTCAGCGAATGTGTTTAGATGTTAGACAATAAATTCTCTCCCTCTCAAAAGGTGTAAAAATTCACTCGCTGCTATTCTCTCCTGCCGTCGGAGGAAAATTCATCTGTGGTAAAAAAGAGAAAAGAAAAAAAAAAAACGTCTCATCAATTAAACTCCTCCGACGGACTTAAGCCAGTGCACAAGACTTCCATTAGTTCCATCCAGTGTGGCTGTCAGACCGGGCCTTTTGATGGGATTGTGATATTTCTACAGAGGGCGAGGAGAGTAAGGTTCCCTTGAATGCGACTCAAATTCTTTGTCTTTGGCATGCATCCTCACATTCCTGAGTAATTTCTCAGTGTACACACGCGCCCCCACACACACACACACACACACAAACACACACTCAATGCTTGCATGTCCACAGCAGGGACCTCTGACCATTCCCTCTCCGCTGAGTGCTGCAGTCATTGTCACACAGAGAAAGCCATTCATGGTGCCCTCATTCCTGCAGTCTTGTGTACGGCACAGCTGGCCGGGTGCAGGGCTTGTCTTTATAATGCAGCAGGCCCCAGCACGTTCCACACCCCTAAGGCGCTGCTCGCAAACCACCCAGTTGTTTCCCTATTCATACGAAATTCCTCCCCGTGCGTCTTTCGACCCATTTATCCCAAACGCAGCCTTTTATCAACAACCCACCCTGGAATAATGACTGTAAATCACACGTGCGCATTCTTTTCCACTGTAGATACACTCCTTCTTCTTCTTCTTCTTCTATCAGAGCAACAATGTGCAAAGCTCCCTTTCTAAGTCCCTCTCCTGAGCTGCAGCACGGTTTAAGGCTAAGATTACAGTAACCGGCATGGATGGTTATCTTAGCAGAGCGTCTGCAGAACAGGCCGTGAAGATCAAAGCGAGGTGTTCTCCTTTATTTTGAAACATTAGGGCCAAGCTCAAATTGATGACATACCTCCACCACCACCACCACCACCACCACCACCCCCTATCCCCGACCCAGTATCTCTTCTCCAGACAGGCTCCACGTGTCTCGAGAACAGGCAATTACTCGTACACCCTCCTCACTTTTCATCTCTTATTTTATCTCCCCTTCCCCCCCACACACACACAAACACTTGCCCAATTTGATTCCTGTGCCAAGGCGCTGGTAGGAACACAGCATTTAGAAGACAGAGTGCAACCGGTGTGAAAATGTATAGGATGGTAGGCAAACCGTGGGCCAGCTAGTGCAGGGAAAACTCGACTGCAGGGCGTCAGTGAGGCCTCGCTTTTGTGTTACTATTTCCAGGACTCTGGTATGTTTCAAAGGATGCAAAGCACCATATTAGTGGTATATTGTCAAGGATCCCAAAGGGCTCATTAAGCATCACCAAGATATGATTGTTGGTATTTTGCCTCTATTTTTGTTATAAGAAGGAAATTATGTCCAATGCACTTAAACTGTTTTAGAGTGAGCCTGACAGGGCTGGCTCTGGGATTTCTCAGTAGCTCTCAACACAAGAGCTAACTGTGGGAATAACAAAGGAACTAAAAAGCAGAATAAAGCAGTGGAAACTTGGATGTGTTAAAGTTGTAATAAATAAACAGAAAGCAGAGGTGTTCTGCTGCTTATTTTACTAGAAACTGTTAAGTTCAGGTGGTTTGTTGAACATGCCGGAGCTCGCTGCGAGCGTTCCAGTAGGTAAATAAAAAGGGTGCGTGGTGGCAATCAGACATCTCTTTGTTTTGTGGTGTGGTGCAGATGTGGCAGAGCCATTTTTAGCCTCCCTCTCCCTCACTTTCTTTCACTCGCTCTGCTACTTTAAGGGTGGTGTAGCACAATGCAGGAAGTGTCTGGGCCGCAATACCGCAGGGCCCTAACTGCATGGGAAAGCTAATTAAAAGGTTTTTCTTTCGTCTTCTAATCTGGAATAGCTGACCTGGATCGAGAGTTTGCTTATCTAGCACCCACCCACTCTCCACCCCAACCCCCAACCTTCACCCCTTAGTGCCATACTGACATAACAGAGGGGGACGGGCCGCTGGCGCTCTGCCTGCCATAGGCTCGCATCTTTGGCACGGCAGCTCAAGGGAGGAGTGGGTCGCCGGGGAAGGGGGGTTGCCTGGGTGTACAGCTGAACAAACAGGTCAAGTAGATGTGGAACATCTGAGAGGGCACGGTGCCTTACTTAACCCCTGCTGCTATGACATTGTTGAGATGCTGCAGCGATCTGCAGCCGCGCCATCTACGGCAGAGCAGCGACAAAGCACGCACGTGAACGCTCCACTTCACTTGGACACAAAATATCCCCTGAACATCGTCTTGTTAGATGGGTGCAGCGGTTTGAGTAGCACCTGCCTCTGGCTCACGTCTTCAGAAATAACATGCACCTGCTGAGAATTCACAAAGTTGTTGTGCAAAAATCTGCTTTACCATCTTCCATTAGATATTAGTCATAGTTTAATTGAGCTAAATGTATGACTCATATACGACTACATGTTTTATATACACTATGAAAAATGTGTGTTTTTAAAGAGGATTTAACTGTAATTTTTTTTAAACAAGTTACTGTTATTTTACAGATTGTTTTGTTAAATTACAGACAATACCGAGTAAAATTACTGAAAAAATAATTCAAAATAACAGGAAAAAACTGTAAATAGTGTCCATATTAAAAAAAAAAACATTATGTTTGTAAATGGTAAGTCATAAAGTTATTAATGAATTCAAGAGTTAAATTCCGCTTTTCCTTTTTTTTTTTTTACTGTATTTAAAACAGCAAAAATTAGTCTTTTTTTTAAATTAAAAAATAATATTTTACAGATATTAGATGTATTATTTGAAAGAAACTTGAGGATTGAAAAATGAAAAAATAAATGTTTAAAACATCATTTTGCAGATTTCCTCTATTTTGTTAAAGATCAGGACTAGTAACATCTGAGAAAAAATGTATTATTTTTTTACATGTTGACTGAAAAAAACAAAAAAACAAACAAACAAAAATAGGCCAACACTGTATATCATGTCCACATCAAAAATCAGTATTTTTGTATATGTGACTGTGTAATTAGACTGTTTTACTGTATTTAAATCAGTGGTATTCTACCATTTTTACCATATTTTTCTGTCTCCCTTGCTGCCATCTTTACACGATTATTTTATGTTTTTTTTTTTGTTTTTTTTTTACAGTGTAGAGAAGTGAGTGGAAAAACAGAATCATCATTCATTTTGAATCAAGCTGATCATTACACAATAACAACATCATTTTTGACTCACCACTGAATACATTGCTAGAATTAAAGCAAACACTGGTGTAATTGTGCACTTTACTCTGAGAAGCCTCAGAGACTAAACCCATGAAAGCCCCGTACACTGTCTGGCTTTAACCCAGCGAGTGTCGATGTTAGACGCTGGCACAAAGTGGCAGCAAACGGTGTTGAGGGGGTTGGTGGGCCCGAGGTGGTGAGGGAGGGGAGCCAGCATGAGCACGGAAGCTGCATGGCCGTGACTCACTGTGACAGCACCGCTTGGCATGTGAGGACAGCAGGCCAGACAGGCAAGGCTGCTGCCTTTGATCTTTATTTGCTCCACCGTCTGTTTTGCATTTAAGAGCCTTGCTGAGCGTGAGGCATTGGATATACCTTGAATGGCTCAGGACCCCGTCCACTTTTTAAAGACCCAGGATCCTTTTTCAAAGCGAAGGGGATCCAGGACAGAGAGGGATGATGTTTGAAAGGGACGGCTCTGCGCTGAATAGGGCAGAGGGTCTCCCAGCAACACAGATTGGCTCTGATGAAAAGAGGGCGCTCTATAATAACACATAATCAAGCTAATGGAGAATGGTGTGAGTGTGGGTGAGGGGCAAGGTAACATACGACTCCCTCTGGATGGGATCAAACCAGGGTCAGGTGGCGGTGGAACAAAAACAAACATGCACAGCAGCTCCCGAACTAAGCCTGCGATACTCCTCCTGACCTGTCAAATACATTTTGCACATTAGTGATGTCGAATAACTGTGACATGTTACACCTGAGGTTCAAACTGGCTGCATATTATCAATACGGGGTTGTATCCCGCAGGCAGGCGTGGCGCTCCGACAGAGAGGCATTTCTCCCTCCAAACACTGAATATATTTATCTTCTTGACCAGCTCGATTGCACATTCCTCTCAGACACTACAATGGCCACAGTCCAGAGTCAGCCACTGGATAAAGTCTTGCCCTACAGCGTGATACAACTGATATAAACAACTACACTCTCTAATCAGAGCCTTTAAATGTTTATTTATGAGGAAGCATACCAACACTACTTAGAAGAAAAGGGCATTCTGAGAAATTTTCCTCTCTTGTGTTATTTTTGCATGCTTGCAAGTCCTTCTGCAGAATTCCTTTTCTGTTTCACTTACTGTCCAGCATGTAATTTATTCCCAGACTATACATTTTTAGCAATCCACACTTCAGATTATATTTATTCTGTCTGTTAGGGTTTACACAAACTGCTCTCCAAATAGCAATGAATGTACAGTCGGGAGTCTCGTGTTATGGAGTTGAAATGACTAAAGGCAGATGCAGAAATGTAGCAACATAGATTTTATTTACTTTTTGAGCACTGTAGAGAGCGGTGCACATATGATTTCCATAGCTTATACCGTTTTTATATTAGTTGCATTTTCAAGTAAACAATAAACAAGCTCTACTGTGGTTTCATTGGGACCAACAGAAGCATCGGTTCAGACGATTACTCTTTTCAAGTACAATTCTTGACGGCACCATTTCATGGGCTAAATGCATACATTAGTTTTTAGCTGTACTTTTTCGCAAGAAAATACACGTCTCTGTCAATGGGACTGTACAAATATAAATTGTGATTTTTTTTAAATGATGACTAACAGTCATGTTTGGCGGTAGGGTCGAATGCTGCTACCTGAGCACTATATATATGTATAAGCGTCACTCTGGAAGTGCATAGCTTCCTCCTTCTTGATCAACCCAGAAAAACAAGAAAGTGGCTTACTGTATATTTTGTACATGCAGTAGCTATGTATTCACATTTTAAAACAAAAAAGCAAAGCATT